TGTGTCTGCTTAGTATCTGGCCGGGGTGTGTATGTGTGTGCAAGCAGATATTGTTAATAGATTGTGTTCAAATCAAAAGCCAATTCATGTTGAGTAGGTGAGGAGGTTCGATTGCTCAGAATAGGTGCATTATCATCCAAACGTGAAGCAATGATGGAGAACGTAAATTTAACGAAGCTGAAAGAGGACCAGATTTGGAGGGCCGACGTTGTGTTTGAAACAAACCTTCTCCCGGGGGAATTCCAAGTGTTAGCATGTGGGACATGCTCCAGCTGCTAGCTGCTCAGACTTAAAATAAACCAAGCAAAATCCCACACTCAGCCTCTACCAACTGAGGCAAGCTGCCGTTGCAAACTTTTCATCTCCCTTTTTCCTCCAGTTGGGTCAGCATGACAATAAATATTTTTTGAAGGAGCATTTGAACATTAGTTTTTTGCACAGCTTTATTTGTGCTTCCCTGAAGTGACGTGTTTTCTGAATGCAGTTATGAATTTAGTAAAAAATCTGCTTTATATAGGTTGAAACACTGTCCCAGGAAGTCTGGGCTTGAAAAATGGTTAGAAATACTATTTCTACCTTCTGTAACAACGACATTGGTACCAATACTTCCAATGCTTTCCCAAGGTAGGTAGTTTTGAAATTGCAGCATGACTTTGTTAACGAAGGAATATTCTCCTTATTTATTTGAACTGTGTCTTAAAGGGAAACACATCTGACTTTTTTCTGAACATATTGAAGACAAAATAATCTGTCTGTGGAACACACCATAGCAATATTTCAAGGTAGAAGATGGCTGGGAGGTATATGGTAGTTTGTCTGACAACTGAAGTATGAATACCTTTGGGGAGCGCTGAAAAAATGACTACAACAATGTTTGCTTTGTTTTGTGGTTTGAGATTCACTTTTTTTTTTTTTTTTTAGATTTTAATAACTCTCTGACTATAATTTATTTCTAAGGTACTCAGATGCTTGGGAGGGGTGGGAAACAAGCAACTTAGTGCAATCTATGCAAATAATGTCTAAGTTTTTTTTTTAACATTTTCCTACGTGAAACTTCATTCATCAAGACTACTCAGTTTTTCTGTGATAAAACCTGTTGAGCAACGTAGTACACAGCATTTAGGAATTTAATGCTCTTATTAGTGTCAAAGCATAGATATCAAACTATACCAGTCAGCTTGAAAAGCGCGCAAGTGGCTGCCAGAACCTACCTGCCTGCTGCAGAGAGAGACAAACGCACACAAAAATTTGTGTTCAAAACAGCAAGCTTATCTAGAATTTATTTATAAGAGTGAACTCTGCCATGCTATGGTTAATCACATACAGTGCCAGGAATATCTTCTGAAGGTATCCTGAGTACTGTGACAGAAATATTTGTCACTCAAACTATTTATAATTCTAGGAGTTTGGAGGGCAGACATGTTTATTTTTTCATATGAAATAGCAGCTCTTCCTTTGTCAAAAAAAAAAAAAAAAAAAAGAATAATAATAATAATAAAAAAGGCTATCTGTATGGATGTGCCAGGCAGATTTTAAGGATGCTGTTTTCAAAAATGCCATATTTTCACCCTAGCTGCACTGCTGCTTGGCCCATTAGCCCCTCTGTTCCACAAATGACTTTGTAGCTTCATGGTACTCAGCCTGTTGCATGCTGAACTGCGATTATCTGTGAGCTCTTGGAAGAGGTCTGTCTAGGGTGACTCAAGAAATGTAAAGCTGTTGTCCATAGACTTCAGTTTTCCATGTAGCACCTCCACAGAAATATTTTAAGGGCTTCCAAATTGAAACAAGCTGTAAGCCTCTGTTCTACTGTTAACCACATTTTTTCCCCAGAAGGTGTGCAAAACTGTACTAAGCCCAATCGGTCTTTGAGAAATAGGAAAAATATTGCCACGGTTGTCAGTCTTATCTTCCTCGCCACCTCAAGCACTTGGTTCTGAGGACTTTTTTGCTGGGGTTTACATCCAGCTCATCTTTCCCTCCTGTTCCTTGTTCCATGTCTTGAATTATTCCATATATTCCATATCTTGAAATATTCTATTTCTGGGAATTGTGGGCAATGTATAGACACTGTGCTGTAGCAGGCATGCGAGGAATGTTATGAGGGTAGCAAGCTTCCCGTTTTCCTGGTCACTCAGAAGATTTATGTGCCAGTATAATGAGAATAAATGATGAGCTGCTCTTCACTGATGGGGACCTTATGGGCCGGCCTGTGCTGAAGAGGTTCTGGAAGTTGATAACCTTTGTGCATCAGGTTTTGTTCTGCATAGATAGAAGAGGGGAAGAGAGTTATTGGTAGATGTGAAAGTGGATGGACAAAGTAAAGAGTGTTAGCCAAGCTCGGGCAGCAAAGCTGAAAATCTGAGCTATTTATACAGTTGGAAAGAGAGTTGGGGTATTTTTGTTATTTTGGCACACAGTACCGACATTTATAGAGCCAGGAGATGCTCCTGCGTAGGATTCGCCTCCTATTTTTTAGGTCTCTGTGAGATGACGTAATGTATTGCAGATTTGGCCTGAGCACTGTCTGAGTATAACTGAAGGGGCAGATGTCACACTGAAACTGAAAAGTCTCTGGGTCATTCTAAACTTGCTTGGAGACAAGGCATGTAAAAGATTTTCTTTTTTCTTTTCCCTGTTTAAGAGCAAGATAAAACATCCATAGGCAGAACCACTATTACTACTATATAAGTTATTCACTTCAACACCTTTCTCATATCATATCAGGTTAATGACTATTTTGTGCATCTGGTATACATCCAGAACCCCTGTTGTAAAGTCAAAGTTGCGTGAGATATCCCAGTTTGCATTAGTAAATGCTATAGCACAGTATTTTATTTTGACAAGTATCATAAAGCTATATAAACAGAAACCATAGTTTTAAGATATTTTTTTCCTAGAAGATATGAAGTAAAGATTAAATAGTATACTTTTATTTTTCAGATATATTACCTCTTTTCCCTTCCCCAACCCTCCATATTCTACATAGTAAATTTGTGGGTACCTAAAAGATAATGGAGCCTGATTTTATTTTTGCTTTTATACACCTAAAATGTAGACATCTTGAACAGAATTCTAAGTATTATCTCTACTGGAGTGACATTAATTCCAGAAGAAATCTCTGTCTCCTCAGATATTTATCATTTCATATATCTGCTCTAAACATTTTGATAGTCTCAAATGTTCCAGCAGTTCCATGTTATAAGCTCTTAAGGCTGATTTAAAATTTCGCCGTGTATTTTTGCAGAAAACTGAAGCCAGGACTTAAGGGCTTAGGTCCTATTCAGAGGTTACCCATGTGCAAAAATATTTTTCTGAAACATATGGGAAAGAACTGGGTGCTCTTCGGCACACGCCTGGGAGATAATTGGAAGTAACTGTGCTCCATTTTTCATAAGCAAGTGCCATAAAAAAAACAAAACAAAACAAAACGTAAAAAACGTCCTGGAATGACACGAAGCATACACATTTTCCCTTTGAAAGGCATTAGTGCAATGTTTTTACGTGTGTCTACGCTGTGGTGTTTGGGATGGAATTTGGAAATGCTGCTCAGCAGTGGGCCCATCGCTGTACTCGTGCTTGCTGCAGTGGAGGCAGGTTGCTATTTGCCCACGCATTGTCCTGAAGCAACCAGGGAAGTTAGAGGCACAACTGCCTATGTTGCTTCACTTCGGCAGCTTGTTCAGGCCAGATAATGGTAGTGGCGGGGAGAACCTCCTGAATTCTGTGCAAAGCGGTGGGCAGGGACCTTTGTGGGGGCAGAAGGAGCAGCCAGAGTAACCCTGATCTCTTCCATGAGCAACAGGGGGAGAAAGAATGGGACAATGCTGCTCTCTCGGGAGTTCCGTCCTTCCTAGGTGCCAGCCTGTGCTTAAGTGAGTTCATTCAGCCCTGAGCTCATAATGGAAAATCTTGCAAGATTACAACTTAATATACCACAGTCTGTATTTATGGCTGAGTTGGCTTGAGTTAACAGTACCTGTAGAGATACACTGCTTGCAAAATGCTCCTCACTAGCCAAAGCATGCCTTTTATCAAGATGGGTTAGGAATATCCAGTGCTTCCCTACAGGCGTGTTGCTACGTGTAGCTGTATTTAATAATACGTATATTACGAGATTATTGCAGTGTGGTTTACGCTGGCTTTTTATTTCATTCTTTTGAATCTATTTATTTACACATTTTTCCTGCCATGAAGAATATGCATACTTGGAAAAGCAGGGTCAGATAGTGAGACTGGACTGAAAGGAGATATTCAAGTTCTTAGGACAGTGTTCAAAAAAGGCCTGTGGGCTCAGCTATGCTACACAGCCACGCATGCTATAGAGCTAAAACTGTGATCGGAAGCTCTGTAAATGTTGTTGTGTTCTCCCTGGGCTAATTAACAGGGGTGCCTCTCAGCATACCTAATTAGCCCCATTTCTGCAGCATCCTCAGGGGCCAGGCTAATTAGCGTGGGTGCTTTGCTATACAGACACAGCTATATTGCCTCTGGGATCTAAGCTAGCATCAGTGCATGGCATTGCAATGTGCCGTGTAGACAAGCCAGTTTCCTCAAAGCTACCTCAGGATCTCTAACAGCCCTTTGCTGTGTAGACTTGCCCGGTGTGTTAATGAGACCCCAAAAGTTTATGCAGGGAGAAGGATAACAACTTGGGATATGGGCCAGAGGGTAACATTTCGAGAGACAGATGTTTTAGGGTGAGTCCAGAATTCATTTGCATTTACTTTACCTCTGCATCTACTTGTTACCTTTGGATTAAAGATGGTATTAAAAGCAAGCAGCAGCTACAGTGAGGCAAAAAAAAAAAAAAAGGCCTGTATTGAGGTGTATGAAGTCTGAACCTGCTACCTTGCATCTTGCTGGTTTTTACTTTTAGGTTCTCAGCTAAATTTGTAACTGCTAAAAGGTAGTCATGAACCAAAGTATTTTAAAAGGATATTTTCCCATTGCTGTGGTCAAATAATAATGGTAACGAATCATCCCGTATGGTTTTACAGACCCTGCTGTCTCTGATCTTGAAGCGCTTTGCAAGCATGAGTAAGCACAGCTCCACACGAGCCCGGTGATGAGGCAATACAGCGGTTCCCATAGTACGAGCGGTAAATCTGAGATGCAAAGACCTGCCAAAAGTCAGTTGCATTTATTAGAAGGAACATGTCCTCTCTGGTTTAACTTATTCTTGCACTGTGCTCCTTAGAATTTTCTTGTACTGACATTTTCTTATCAGCACTGTTTTAACTTACTGATATCAGGTGATTGCAGGTTCAGTTTAGCTGAGCTGAGCTGAAAACGTTGCACTGCACTATACAAGAGCTGCAGAAAGGTGGCTTATTATTCACAAAAGGGCTGTACACTGTGGGGAGCTGATAAACAAAAGATCCACTGTTTCTGTCTTCTTTTACGGTATCAGTAGCAACAGGCTGCACCGATACCTTCCCTGATAGCTCAGCCATGCACAAAAAACGGCACCATTTGTGGCAGCAAATACCAGCCTCTGCATGGAGTCCCCAGCAGCTCTGTGGGACTTTTCCCGCTGAGTGGAAAAGATCCGTCCAAAATGTCCTGATACACCTCTTAATCTTGCTTCACTTTATTCTCATCGTGCTAACAGCCCCACAGATGCATAACATACAGCTATCCAATTTTCTCTCCTTCCCACAAGGGAAGCCTGTGGCTACACCTGCATCGTATCTGAACTGATCTTGGGAGCGGTCTGGAGTCTGCAGTGCTCATCATGGCTTTGCTGCACTGAGTACAGGTTGCCTGTGAGTTCTACTTCCTGCAAGCTATGGTGACAACAGTTTATGAAAGACCCTTCCTTTGCTGTGAGGACAGACGGGATACGTGGAAATGAACATACCAGACGATGGGAGGCCATGGCTGCTGGAGGGAGCCCCTCTGCAGGTACGTATGCTCTGCAGTGCTCTGACATGCACAGGTCAGCACAAAGCCAGCCCAGAATACTTACCAGCAGGTAAAATAAAATCTAGGCAGTCCCTGAATACATCCTTAATTGCAGGCTCAAGGATGAATGCTACCTAAAACAGAGAGCAGAGGTAGCTTCTGCTGCTTTCCCCTGTTGGAAGGATACTGTGAGCAATGCTGAGCCTTTGCAGCATTTCTTGAGTGCTGCAGGCAGGACGGGGGCTCTTGCAACCAAGTCACCTTGCGGCTGGTTCCACATCCACCTGCTGAAAGCAGCAACCTACCAAATGATGCTGTGGTGTGAAAGGGCCTGTCTTCCTATCTTCCTGCTTTGATTATTTATAGTTAGACACAGCAGGTGAGCTCTCAAGCAAGAGGTAAGACCTCCTACTTAGAGGTCTTTACAATACCTGCTTCAGAGAAAAGATTTCTGGTTTTGATATGTGATCACGTGCAGCACTGAAAACAGCGTTGTTTGCATGTGTGAATCCTCCTTCATTGAAATCCAAGAACCATTCTTGCTTGAACTATGTGCAAAAGAAATCTGGGATTAAAAAAGGCCTCAAGAGCAAAGAGGAACAAGGGACACTGAGAGATGTACGTCTCAGCAAAGCTTCCACAGAGAAGCCTCAACATGTGTGAAAGGTGAAAAAAAATAACAAGATGACTTCAGCATTGGCTTGTGATGGGCAAGGGAGGGCCCTTTTCATCATGGTCTGGCAGAGAAACCTGTAGCCTCAGAAGAGAAAGGAACTATAGACCTTACTTCAGAAATATAAGTCCTTTTCTAATAAATGACTGACAATGGAGTTCCTAAAGAAAGTCAGTATTCCTGATCCTCGTATCTTTAACTCTTTTCCTGCCTGACAGAGTGCTGCTATTGCTTTAACTCTGCTGCTTTACTCAACCTCCTGTATATTTCAGGGATGGGGAGAGCAAGCAATGTTACCTTACAGAGAAAGGTCAAAAAACAACTTCACAACCTGTTCCAGCAACAGTGGAAAGCTAGGGCAGTTGCAGAGCTTTCTGTTGCTGGATGACACCAGTGTGAGACAAGAGCAGGGTAGGGCTGCTGGTGTTAAAGGCGCACACATTCTGAATGAAGGAGCTTTTTTACTGAGGCTTGGTTCCAGTAACAGATGCATCTTGCCTATCTTGAGCAATGCATCGAGTCACCTAAGCCCTGTTTATAGTCAGTGAGGATAAATAAGCATGTCTGGAGGGCAGTTCATCCCACCTGTGCTAATTTGGGGGAGGTGAGGGTGGAGGTGGTGGAAATAAGTGCCCCTGGGAAGGGCCTGCCCATTGCTGCTGACCACACAGGGAGCCCAGGCAACTTTCTGGGGCTGCTTTTTGTCCATGGGAGAAGTCTGAGTAACGTAGTGCTGCCTGTGGTTTTGATTAGGCTGAAACAAGGAAGTACTGGAAAAAACATGAAAGAAGCTGATGCCTTGTTGTTCTCAGGCCGAAGCCCTGAATATTAACCAGATATTGCAAAAGTGTAAGTAAGGGTCCATCCCTTTGAATGAAGGATGCAGGTATAGAGAGAAACACTTGAAACTCACATGTGCTTGTACCAGAATGATTGCTGGCAGGATCTGAACTCAAAAAATGAAGTCAGTAATTGCATGCTGGTTTTGTTCTGGTACAAATTGTGATCAGGATTTAGAAGCTGTAATAATTTACAGAGACTGTGATACCCTTGAAAGTGATTTTGCAGCATAGATAAATATAATGAATTGCCTTGTACCGTAATACAAAATTTTCCATTCCCCTCCTTATGTTCTATTCAGATATCTGCAATCCACTAGTTTAAACAAAACAAATTGCTTTTGATTTACTTTGCAAAGTCAAGGCTAATTTTTGCAGAAATATTTAATTTTAGTATCAAGATAAGAGCGGCCAGCCCAGATTCTGACAGACAATTTTATCAACCTAGCCTAATGTATAACTTTTGTTGCAGTGATGCTTGCCCTGAATAAAGGCAGGTATGCTAGCAGGGATGAGAGCTTTCCCAGCCTAATGTATCCCAGATGATTCCTGTCTGGGCGTATTGTGTATCTCTATAATCTGAGTGAGGCTGGCAGCTGCATCTTGCTCTCCACTGCAAGTTCTCTGCCTCTTTTGTCAGAGCCACTGGCCAGATGAGGTGCTCAGCACCCCCATGAGATAGAGTCTGCTGGGCTCTGGGGCGGTGCAGAATTTGGCTGAAAATTAAAAACCAAGCAAACAAAAAAATCACATGAGAGTGACTTGGTTCTGTGCTTTTCCATCAGGGGATTGCTACGCTGATTTTAGCAAAACTGTCCTTAGCAGGTGTGTGTGGGAGGGCAGGCAGTTCCTCTTTAAATCACTCTACTTTGTGTAAAGCCACATTCAGAGCAGTGATTTTTCTATCCCTTCTCTCTTTTCTAATGTCTGGTGCCCCATGGGGGAAAAAGTAATACTTAAAGAAATCTGGGGCTTATGTGAAGGAGCAAATTTAAATAGGAAGCAGGTTAGCAGAAAGTTTCTTGCTGAAACTTGAAACTATACTGAAACATTAAGTCTAATATCCCAGAGTTGTTGTCTCTTTGTGACCTGATTTGTCAATTTACATGTGCCTAACCAGTATAGACCAGGCCTGGGACGTGTATTTTGGTTCAGACACTAAAGCCTTCATGTCTCCTCTCCCACTGCTCCTGTTCTGCATGGCCCAGAAAAATTAGGACATGTTTGTAAAGGTGCTGTTTTCTTCCTTGGCCCATGTGCTGACTGGATGATTCATAAACCAAACATTGATAGTATCAGTTGGCAGTTACTTAAACCTGAGGTTTCAGGTTAAGGAGCAAAAATGAATGCAAATATAGCTGGCGAGAGACTGTGATGCATGCACTAGAGCTTGAAACTTTTTAAGGATTGGTATCAGAAAGCCCTATAAGACAAAATCTTAAGATGCTCTGCAGAGAGTCTGTTCTAGGGTGTCTGTCTGTTTTGATGATGTGGAAGTGTACCTACTTCTCAGGTACCTCACTCCTTAAACTGCAGCCTCTCCCTGGGCTCAGCAGAGAGGACTCCTATTGTTTTCCTTGTAGATACCACTTGCTAACAGCAGAGGATTGCCAGTCACTTGTGACAGCTTCATAAGGCTCCACGTGCAGACGTAAAGTAGAACATGCCCCAGAGAGTAAGGCATTTGTATAGTAGTTTAAAAAGACAGTGCTGCATATGTATGATGAGTTAATTCCCATTTCCTGGGAACGTTCCCATGTGCTGGGACATTGTCATCTGACTATGTCTTATTAGAGCACCCACTGGAGGTAGGGCATCCCACAGATCATCTCCAAGAGACAGGTTGTGCACAGCCACCCAGTCTCATGAGCTGAGAGGTTACTGATGTAGGCATGGACCATTTGGAGGACAGTTGGCCACAGCTCTCAGAAATGTCCACTGACAGATTTCATTCACTGATACAGATGTAGTCTAACAGCTGGTCTCATAGTCAATATTGCTGTGTTGAAGCAATGATTTGGTCAGAAATATTTTAATTTAGACAATGCCCCCCTTATTCTATTAGGGGAAAATTGCAAATGGCCCCTTACACTGTTTTTTTTTTTTTTTTTTTTTTTTTTTGCTGTGTATGGGTAGGTGTCTTGAGATTTTCTGGCACCATTCCTTTTCCTTTTCTCCCCTGCTGAAAGAACTGCCTTGCCGCTGGTGATTCATTTCTTTGTGGTGTTAACTGATAATAACCAATATGGAGACCTGAGCAGGAAAGCTCTTACTGAGCCCTACTCTGAAGTAATGAAATAGCAGTGAATGCACAAAGTAAGCTAGCAGCAGACAGGAGCTGTCTTAGTACTTGTCCTTTCCTAAAGTGGTGGCAGGAAATAGAAGAGCCTCTGGGATGCACTCATACTCTTCTTATGTTTATGGCAAAGTCTCTGTATCTGTTTCCAACAGTTGTTCACACCCCATGGTCCCAGAAATTTAGAAATACTCCCCCTCCCCCCCCACCCCGAGAAACCTGAAAGAATGTAACCTAGATTGTTTTAAACTGTTATCAAGACAGCTTAATTTAAATACTGAAATACTTTTTTTGATGCTTTCTGGTGAGAGGTGTTTTTTTTTTTTTTCCTAGAAGATCCATCTGTAATATTGATACTAATAATGCTACTGTGGACAAGAAAAAAATGAGAAACAACAAAAAACCAAACCTAATATAAAGTGGGATTCTGCTTATGTAGCCGGGTAGGCTCCTTTGTGCAACAGAGGGGCTGGGGATTTTATTTTTTAGTTTTGGGAAATTCTGGTCAGATGTGCAGGATGATATTGGGAAGAACAGCTGGGTCTTCTACCTGTGGGCCTTCTCTTGGGTTTGTGATTTGTTGGCTTACACCACTTGACAGAGCTGATTTCATTGTGTTAGTTATATAGCACTGAGTTGTATATTCATTCAGGAAGAGAGACTTTTTATCACATCAACATGTATTGCCTTTAGGCTTAGTCTTTAGTGGGGATATTAAACTACTTAAAATCCTTAAGTAACATTTGTGAACGAGGCATATAAACACATTAAAACATCCTAGAACAATTTACAAATAGTTTAATTAGTGTTTAGAGTAGCTTACCTTTAGCAGATTTAATGGCCAGCTGAAACTTTAGTGTTTGATACTGAGCTTTAAGTGCCAAACTGGACAAAGGAATTAATTTTGATCACCTATTCTCTCACTATGTGCTCACAGTTCCTCAGAAGCCTCATGGAAGATTCATAATTCCCAGGAACTGGAATTTCTTAGAAAAAGATGCAGCTGAATATTGGAAGTTATATGACAAAACTTAAATTTCATCATGTCTTGTTTACACAAGGTCAGTTCAGCCGATTCAATTGCAAACCATTCATTCCTGTTGTGTAAGCATGACCCAACTCAGATATGAGAGTGGAGTTATTTTTCTGAAACCCCATCCCACCGTACATCACAGCTGCATCTTTTTATCTTTCTATGTGGTTTTGGACAACCATAAATAGAAAGCATACAGACCTCCATCTCTGCTTGCTAGCTGTAACCTAGCAAAGGCTGTAAAGGGGTACAAAATCTGTGTGCAGCTGAATCTGAGTTCCTCCATATTATCTACTTTACGTTGCGTTTTCACAATGTTTTCAAGTTTTTGAAACTGATCCTGCTAGTGTCACCTTGCAGGAAAAAAGCCACAACACCTGAAAGCAGGGAGGCAAAGTTTCTTGTGGAAGGTAACTGCACCTTTTTTGAAAATGAAATGCTTTGGGTGTCTTTAAAACTTGTGAGGAAAAGCTCTTCCCAAGGACTTCATAAAATTCTGCAGTTCTCAGTCTGCATAATGATCAATAGAAGGGGGGTAAACTTTATTGACCTGGAGGTCATCAAAGTTCTTTTATCCAAATAAAAATCAGCTGGCTGAGTTGTTACATGGAATAAAAGATAAGAATAGTGTGTTCAGCCCAGGTGCTTTGAACAAGTGAAATTATGCCTTCTCCCCCCTGCAGCATCAAACAGTTATGCTGTAATCCTTGCTTCCTCTTCCAAAGTGCTCTGTTTTTGTGTGCCATGCAATTAATTGGTAGGGCATTCTGTCTCCGTGGTGGGAAGGAAGTTTTTTGTATAACTCATGCTTTCTTCACAGGAGTTAAGTCTGTGTGTAAAGTCTGTGAGACTGTGGCAACAGCACACAGTATTAGTAGAGTATTCATACTGGATTTCAGAGACTCTGTGTAAATGTGTTCAAATAGAGAAGGATTTACTCAAACTAGGAGGTGTTTTTTTCTTCACAAGATTTAAAAAAAAAAAAAAAAAGTTTTCCATTCATGTACAGTCGAGCATGCAAATACAGAAAAAGAAGTGGAGAAGTCTAGATAAGGTGAGAAGGTTCAGTGCTTATGTCTGGCTTGACAGATACAATATGTTCTTGTAAGCCTAATTTCTAAACCAAAGGAAACTGCAGACATTTGGATAAACAACTGATGATATCTGAAGCTTCATTAACCCTGTTCATTAACCTGTTTCTGTACCTCTGATGCAACTACCTCTGCATGCTCTTCTAAAATATGTCTACTGTCTCCTTTTCAAGAGCTACTTCTTTAGAAATGCCCTTAAGAAGTGAGTCAGTAAAGTATTTACCAAAACACCCCTAAACAGCTATCATCTCTTGGTGTGTAAATACCATTGCTCAATGTCCATGCAATGTTACTGATGAAAACTTGTTTTATTTCACTGTTTCAAACTTTTTCTTGTCTTTTTATTGCATTCTTTAGGACTCAGATTGTGAAGCCTTCCTAGCAAGATCCATATGCGAGTTCCTGGGGATATCAGAAAGTAAAGGTCATGAGACTTGAAGCAAAACTTTCAAATACTTTAGTATTTTCTGATATTATTTATTACTAGATTTTGTAAGCTGCCTTTTCCTGCAAATAAGACACTGTCATTTATGCATGTACTGCCATGTGTCATGAGCTTGGTTCTTCTGTACATGATCAAATAATGTTCCTGCAAGGATTGCTCATTTTCATTATTCCAGTTCTTTGATGGGGAGGGTCTTTCTGTGTGACTTTGAGCCTCTTAAGTCCCTTTTGTTTTCTTCACTGAAGGCTAGCAGGGATGCTAAAACAAGGGTGTAACTATTCATATGTTTAAATGGGGAAAAAAAGTTTAATTTTTAATAAATCTCCTCAGAGACTGCTACTCCTCTGCCTAGCCAAGTGGTAGGCTTTCCCCAGAAATGGTAGCTCTTCCAAGGTAATGGTAGGTTTATTGTGATAATGTGGGGCTGGATTCAGAGTAGCCTCTGAACAGAATCCTGCTGGTGCTAGTGGAATCGGCTCCTTTTTCTGCATGGGAGGCAAGGAGGAGAAGGAAAGGGCATGGGATCAAGGACAAAGCAGGAGGAGTCAAGTAGCACATAACAGGACTGAACTTGGCCCAGAAACAGAAATGTGAACCAGGACTCTCCTAAACACTCTGTCAATGTTGTTTACGTGTGTAGGAGCTCAGGTACAGGAGCAGTGTCCTTTCTGTACAGGGGGCTACAATATACTTCCTATAAGAGTTGAGGTAGAAATGAAAGTGTAGTTTGCCCACACTACTGCTAAAATAACTCTGCAATAAAGGAGTCAGGGGGGCAAGGAGGACCTGAATGAAAATGAGCTGGTTGTTGATTAGAACATAAGTAGTGGGATGTGAATAAACCAGAATGCTGCATAAAACAACGAATGCCACCAAGTGCACAAGAAAGACTGCAGTGTTGATGGCACAACACAATTGCATTGTGTCTAGCAGATGCCTGCTATCCTACCACCTGATGTAAAATCTGAGAAGAGATGAAAGGATGGTGTCAGTAAGTGTTCTTTTTAGGAAAGTAAGACTAATACTGAGTTATTTACATCTATTTAATGTAATTTCCAAAATATATTGTGTGTCTTGTAAGATGATATGAGACAAAAGAATAAATCCAGCTTTTAAGCCTAAAAGATTAAAATGCTGTTTCTTCTGACCTTTTCTAGCTCTTCAACGTGTATGTTACATCGCTGAACACCAGGACCTGACCAAATCCTCTTCATGTCAGTGGGGGTGACTTCTGTTGACTTGACTGAAGTTTCTACAGGAGTGTGCCTGATAGGAATCAAGACATTACCCACCAACTTTTAAACATTCATGTATCAACCTGAATTCTGATCCTCGTTTTTATCCTTTCATGTCACATACAATAATGCTGAGTGACTACTGTATGCCCCATCTGCAAGTGCTGTAGTTTGTTCTTAATGGTTCTTCTAGTCTGTGCAATGATTTATTAAGGTATGTTCCACATTGGAGAGATTACAGATCAGAAGTAGTCTGATTAAAATATTTGGCAGGCTATGTTTGCTTGAAGATATATTAAGAGAATGATCTAAAACCCAAAAATCACAACTCACTGTAATGAGTAAAATAGTTTTTCTTCTGAAGTTTCTAAGAACTTTGTCTAAGTTATCCATTTAACATCTTCAAAGATTTAAGAAATTACATAAACTCCTGGGTATTTTCCCTTACAGCAAATTCTATGGTAAATGAATTCCAAATAAATCCTTCCTGTTTTTCCATATTTTGTTGTGTGTTAAGATGATAGCTAGCATATAATGATGCATAGTTTGCTCTGTGGCTCGTTTACCTCTAAGAGATAAGCTGACATGAAATTAAAACTGTAGCAAAACCTGATAACCTAGATGCAAAATACTGCTCTTCAAAAAATTATGAAAGATGCTAATAACTTGGTCTGTATCTGTATGTATATCTGTACCCACCTGAATTTAGGTGGCATCAAGGCCACCTAAAATTATAAAGAGCTCTGAGTTGACTCAAGATATTTACCCAACTGCCCTTAAACTTGCGTTGCCTAGATTCAGTGCAACAAACCTTGGAGCGTATGGTCATAGTTTAAAAGACTTCTGCAGTTCATCAAGAAGCCAAGGCTTTGGCCATGTGTCCTCAGATGACTGATTAATCATATTTGTACACCTCTACAGAAAAAAAAAATGAGTTTGTATAGAGCACTATGTAAATATTAAGTTTTATGGTTATTATCTTTTCCTGACCAAAGTAATCTGTTAAACTGTTAAATTTACTATTGAATGTATTTAGCAGGCACTCTAGATCAGTGCTTGGGGGGGTCCCCTCCTCTGCAGCATCTGAGGTCTTCACGTTACTTTAGAGATCCTTCAAATCTGGAACACGGTATGGTCCTTTTTTAAGGGGAAGAGCTGAGATTCGGTGTGCATGCTAACCCAGCATTAGTGCTGCTGTTTTATGCTTTGCAGCAGGTACCTGGAGCTGCCCTGGGGTCCCTGTGCTGCACCCTGGTCTCCAGCAGGGCTGGCTGTAGGTGAATTGACCATGGTTGCAGAGGGGCACTGGGTGGAGAATGCTTGTGGGGAAGCTTTGATCTTTTCTCCTGAAGTATGGCATAGACTGACCCCACTAGGCATCCACCAAGCCTGGAGGAGAGTCTTCCAGGTTAAACATGGCTTACAAACTTGGTTTTGTTTGGGCTGGTAGCAAGGTTGGGATGTTGTGGGCTGCCTGCCTGCATGGGCTAAGAGGGCCTGGGGTGTGTTTGTTGGCCATGTGCCTCCTCCCTGGCTGCTGGGGGCTTTTCAGGGAGTGATGCTCCCAGCAGAGCCACTCTTGCACCTGCCTTGCCCTGGAACCAGGCATTTCTGTCCTGTCTCAATAGTCCTTGGTTTAATATGGTTGGCAAGTGTTTACAGATTATACCCTCTACTTAATAGGTTTCTGTGACAGCTGTTTTGTCCAGCTATCGTACTGATGTAAATGTTTTCACCCAATGATCCTTGGATACCTACTAATATACTACACTTTCTCATGTGTTTGATGATTGCTGTTTATTTGCCTGAGAAACTTGCTGGATTCATAAAGCATATTTTTTCCACTCTGCTTCTGTTTCAGGGTAATGTTTAATCCCTTACCTGAAACAGCTTTTTCATTCTCTTTGCTATAATAAATTACTAAATGGAAAGAAATGGATCTAAGCTCCGTTAGCTTAAACTCGACGAGCTTTTGTTTCGAGGCTGAACAGTGAATCTTAGAAAGCTTGTTTTTCACTTGTCCTGAAACCTTCCCCTCCTGCCTCCCCCCTTTCATGCCAATAAAAGGTAACCAGAGACAGCTGGGGGCTCGCTCTCTGCCTCCTTTGAATGGGAGCGTCTTCTCAATGCCTCTTTCATGTACCTGCAGAGACCCCGCTCCGCTCCCTGCAGCGACCGAGGTTCTCAGAGGTTGAATAGGTTTTCATTGCCCGCATTTCTGGTCTGAAGCAGACTGAGAGAAATGAGTGCTAAGTAAACGCGGTGGCAGTCGTGCCCGTGTCAGCATTCCTGCCCGCCACCACTTGTGCCGGCAGCGTAGCACCGTCGGCATGGGCTTCTGCACAGCCAGCTGCGGGGTGTTTCATGTGCCAGCAGCTGAGGAGGGGTGCGAAGCAAAGCAAGGAGTGGAGAGTCTAATTTTTATGAGGCTGTTTATTCTTTCTGTAACAAGTGTGTGGTGCCCGACTGATGTTGAATGGGAATTTAATGCAGTGATAAAGTAAAACTATAAACTTACCAAGTCTGCTTTCAGCTGTCTGTGTTCTGTATCTCTAAGCGTTTGCAAAAAATATGTTCAACAGCACTCAGACACTTCTGTGAAAGTACATGTGATCGTATTCAGCACCTCTACAGAGAACTGATCATCCTGCTGCAGCTGATTGAAGTCGATAGAAAATGAACATGTCTCTCTCTCTTACCAGGCCTTTCTCATATGAAGTCAGTGTCTGTAGGCTTTTAGGTTTCTTTTCATTTTTCTATCATGACTGTTCTACAAATAGTCTGTTGTGGTCTAAAAACTGAGTTTCAGGAAACACTAATGTTTGATAACAGAATTTTGCATTTGGCATTTTATTCGTCAGGGCAAACTCCAAGCACCCTAAATGCCCAGCTTGCAGTGGAAGTTACACGTGGAAGGATTGTGCATTCATAACTTGCTAATAACAGCATCAGAGCATTGTCTGTTGTAGCAGGCGAAAGAATCTGAATGGCATGAATTAGGGCTTTGTTTCCATGAACACCTAGGCATTGTGTAGACAGGAAAGTTTCCCCTTTCTACCAGAATAACCCTATTCCTTACCACACGTAGGCACTCTTATACCAATTCAAGACCTTCCTAAGTAAAGACAGCTTTATTCAGGCATGGGAACTGTGTGATCAAGGATTTATCTTCTGTAAATATAGCATGGGTTATGCCAATCCTTCTAGTTTGCTTTCTTCCAGTTGCCACTTCCTGAGCTAGAGGTGTTACTCCCATCCCAGCTGCTTGTTTAAGGTCTTTTGCTGATGATACTATTCATTCAAACTGTTGGGTGATACTATTCCCTTATCTCAGCCATGTAAATAACTCGTAAGCTAACTTGGGAGATATTCCCCTTCCTGTTTCAGTTCCAGTGAGCTGGTGGCTATAACCATGTTCAGGGCTTCTTGAGACATCTCATCATTTGCTGATTAAGGTACCTAGTGTGGATATACTAACAATGGCCAGAGTAGTGCTGTGGTGATGTTAGCGTTGACTTTTCAACACTGACTGTTGGATGCTCAGTAACATGAGCTGGAGTACTTCGCCCTGATAATTTTCAGCGATGAATTCCTGTGAGCATCTGAAATCACTTTTGCAGAAATGTGCCCGGAGTGTCTTCAGTTATTAGTCCCAGAGGAAAATTCATGTGCTGGCTTAAAAGTAACTACTGATACAGAATGTTTTGACTTCTTTCCTGGAAATTGGGTCTAAAACATCTTCAGAAGGGCATTTTCTCTGTATGCTCAGAATCAGGCCTGATGCACCTTAGATTTAAGGTAATGTCAACTACAGGTTCTTGGAAATGAAGACCCTCTCCTCCTCTTTTTCCCCCTTTCTGTTGTTGCGAATACATGTTACCACTGTCATTAGTTTATTTTTAATTGTGATTGATAGTGCTGTGTAATTTCCATAGTAATTATTCTCAGGAGTTTTGTAGGTAGCAGTTTGTCAATTCATTGAAATGAAGGGCCATCCACACACCCTGTTCAAAGCAAAAAGCAAGAAATCCCACTTGTTGCACTTTTGAGAGCATCAACAATGAAGCCAACCTTTCACCCTTGACTTTCTGGTAACGTAATTTTGAAAGACAGTAGCAAACAATTCAGCTACCTTCTTAAGTGCAAAAATATTCAAGCTAGCTCGATTGTAATGCGATGTCCTTTTCAAGTGAGTGGGAGAGCTTGGAGTGATGCATACAAATCTAGAGGCTGGTAAGTTCATTAGAGTTTCTGGTGTGGCAACAGCAGTGAACTGGTTAAAAGGTTGGCTTTAAAGTGGTCACAATTAGGCTTCAAAGTTAACACCCCACCCCACTGAGATGAATGGGAGCCGTTGACATTTCTTAGTGCTATTGTTTCAGTCTGGCTTGCTACAGCTTCTAAAATAAGACAACAGTACATCTGTTTACATTCTGCTTCCGCAAACCCAGATGGGCTAGAAACTTCATTGTTTTTTAAGTGGAAGCTCAGATTCTGGAGAATACAGCAATATCCACGGGGTATCTGTAGGAAGAAGAGCTGAAAGCCTTCTTAATCACAGACATCTCTCCCTTCCCTGTAAACTTCTATTGTCCTGGGACAAATCTGTAAGCCACTGGGGTGAAAAATAAAGCTATGTATATTTGAAGTACTTTTTACTTGTTACATGACATGCACACAATAGCTGCTCAGCAAGTCCCTAACGTGCAGATTTTCATAAACGGGTGTGGGGTTTTGAACTTTTTTCTTTTTGTCGATAGTATGTGCCGTAAAGGTCTTGGTTTTGCTGAACGCTGGTAGCTTCGCTTAACCTCTCCTAACTAAAAAACTTGTCTCCAGAGAAGCCAGGGCTTCTTCCCAGAGCATTTGGGACCACGTGGTACTCTATGTTCACATGAGTAGAATCCTTTAATTTTGCTCTGAGAGTGATGGAAAAAGTCATAGGATTCTTGAAAGGTATGTTTTGCGTTTTCCTGGTACTCTAACACAGCAGTTACATTAAATTCAGTAAGATCTTAGGAGTTGGGGTGGATTAATAAAGGTGCAAGAGGGGCCAAAATTTGTAGCAGATGGTCTCTATTACCCCATGCCTCAGTTCGTGTCGCGAGTACACAGTGTCCTCTCTGACTTTTGTTGAGGGGTCTGCACAGTGGCAAACTGCCCTCAGTAGCAGCCAGAACCCTATGAGAGCTTCTCTGATAAAGGCGGCCCATTAGATATGCTTAGGCTGTGGATTGAAACCAGCTGTGAATCTGTCGGAAAGATTTTCCTCATTGTGCTTTCATCAGGGTGGAAAGTTTGTTGCTCCTTCTGCATATACGTATTTTGGGCTTTGTTGCTCTGACTTTGCAAGTCCTGGAGTCTGCCAGTGATAAGGGCTCTCATGCATGCAGGCTCCTTTTGTACATTGGCAATCAGAGACCCTGTCTGCCTGCCTTTTGCCCACGGACAACACAGCTTGTGCTTCAGAAGGGACATTGTGGGCTCTTCCAACTGGGCTCTCCCAGATTTCAGCCGTATCATGCAGGCAAGCATGCCATCTGTGCTTTGGGCTCGTGAAGCTCCCTGCCTGTTGTACAGGAAAATTAAAAATTTCTGTTTGTTAGGAGGAGCAAGTACATAAGGGAACAAGTTTGCAGGGTGTGTATGCCATAGGCAAGTTGAATGAAATTTTCCTTTTTCTGCTGTTTGTGACAGAGGAGCATGCTGTGGGGAAATGTTGAGTGAAGGGAAGGGCTGTTCTGCTGCCATAACTGTGATTTTTAGGGTGATGCTAGAGAACAGGATGCTAGTTATACCCGTCCATGCCTGCTCACTTCGTTTTCCCTAATACAAAATGCAAAACTGGAGCACGTCTAGCTTGTTTCCTGCCCAGCTTCAAGGAGCATTTTCATCTGACTGAAAAACAGAGCAGCCCTGAGCCTCAACAGGCCTGCAGATTGTTTGAAACAACCGTGGGCATTTCAGTGGTGTAAGCTGGCTCCTCTCATGTCCATCACTTCAGTTCCTGTGCTGAGTGGGGGCGTGCAGCAATCTGGTCCCTCTGAAGAAAACAACAAGAAAACCCAAGAGGAATATTTATTTTGAAAATTTCCCTCATGAGTTTGTTTTGTCTTTGTATTTAAAAACATTGCTTTACAACTGAAATAATGTTAAAATGCGCTGGAGAATAGCAAGTCAAATGTGATGGAACTGCTACAGTGTGCAGCAAGAGCCACTCAGTATAGTTGCAGGAAGAAGAAGAGCATGCTATTTAATAAAACAGAGGGTTAAAGAATGGGATCAAATATGTATTTGTAATATATGCTTCCACTTTCCATTTCCCTTGGCCATTTCTGACTCTAACGAGGATCTCTGAAGTATTATGCAGACATAAGTTACACATCTTGTTCAAAGGAGCAGATATCCTATTACACCTTTCAAAGACAGTCAAATGACTTCTGCAAAGCTGCAACGGGTCAGTGGCAGAGCTTGGCAAAGAAGTTAGGAGACCTGTTGGCCAGTTCTGCACATTAATTGGCAAACTTCTCTGTTTCCCTGCATTGCAGCAGCATTGTGATAACTGTGTTCAGGAGTCCAAGCTCCACATTTTTCCCTAATACAGAGTTTCCTGAATAAGGAAGAAAATCTGAAGAAAATATTACTAGATCTTTTCCACTGCAGTGCCCTAACCTTCTTTATGCCTCATATTAAAATGTGATTTTGATAATAGTATTATCTTTTAGAGTGTATAAAACACTGGGGATTCAAAGAGCTCTAGTCAGGACAGGAATCTGCCATCAGGATGACATTATAATGCAACTTCTGGAAAATTTAATATGTTATGAAAAAGAAGGAAAAAGTCTTAATTTTTCAACATTGTGGGTTTTTGTTTTTGTTGTTTTGAGAGAAGAAAATGGAGCCTTCTATTTTGGGGCTGTTTAGTTTTTGTGTCAATTCTGCATTTCCAGTTTGTGGTGTATTTTCTTAGACAATTTATAGTTTGTGCTTGCTGCTCCCAGTCTCCTTGCTGGTCTGAGCTTGCTTGCTAACTGGTATTTTGCCAGTAGCAGAGCCTTAGTTCTCTTTGAGCAGCTTGGTACATTATGGCTGTCATTATCCCCTAGAAGAGGATGAGGGATGCAGACAGTCCCTTATGAGAACTGGCCGGCAATACAAAAAGAACCCAGCAAATAGAAACAAAAATTTTCAATTAATGGATAGTAAAAAATGTATTTTCTTCCCAAAATACTCTCAAGGCTTTATTTTTTTTAAATCCGAAAAAAAATTACTTATTTCTAGTTTATGAAAAAAATGATATTATGTAGGATTAAAATCTCATATTTTTTCACCATCTTTTATGATAATAGCATAAAAGGAATTTCTTTTTCTTCTTTTTCTCCTTCCTTTTTCCACCCTAGACAATGAAAATAGATTAATCTAACAGCTTTTTACATTGTGTTCTGTGGACCAGAGCTTGCTTGTAAAACTTTTTCTTTCAGCAGTTTTATTGTTCAAGAACTGACGTTTCCTGCTACTTCTGGCCACGCTTTTTGGTTTTGTGAACAAGTACGCTTAAAGAAAAGAAGAATACTAATTGAGTGTATACCTTTTGTGTACAGCTTTACATTCTCATTAGAACAAAAATGATGCCAGAACTGCAAAGGTAACAACTCCTCCGGAAGGTGAAGTCACTTGAGAAAGACAGAAATGGCAGCAGTCAGTGAAAGAAATCTGGGATTTCTATGCTTCAGGGATTCGGTAAGGACAAGGAAGCAGCCCAGGTAAAACCTAACACAGAATATTGGCTCTGACTGCACATATTTTAAACTCAGTGGCATAGGAACTGTGTTTTGGTTTGCTGTTCAAGTTGCTGGGGTTCTGGTTCATAGCAGGGGCTAACAAACCAAGTAATGAACAATTATGATTGAAGTAGATAAACGAGAGCTACATGATCTTAGATACTGCATCTTACTGAACTTTTTGTTTCCATATTGTCTGTCGTGGTTTTAGCATTTTAATGCTTCATTTTTGTGTAGCTTGAAGGTGGTTGTGTACGTGACTAGATTCACTCCCTACTGGGATATAGGCCAAGATTTTCAAAGTGATTGTTTATTTTGAGTGCCTCCATTTTTTTTAAAACTGAGAAATTTTAGAGAAGGGTGGCTTTAAAGGAGCACAGAGCATGTGTTTCTAAAACTTGGCTGTCTGTGGTGTGTCAATATGGGAAGGAAAAAATTGAAGGAAAAAAAGGAGGCAATGAAAATCCTCATTCATTCTCCATAATTTCAATGCCTGGCCTTCAGTTTGCAGAACTGAGGCTAGCAGATTTAGGCACGGTTATGTGGGAGCCCTGAGCACGTACCCTGCTGTGGAGCAGGCTGTGGGCAACAGCAAAGTGACTTCTCTGCTGTTACCTCCCCCTGGTTCTGCGGCTTTATCTAAGTTTTGTGTGGTCTTACAATGGTGGCAAGATGAGTGCTGGCTGCATTAGATGGGAATAGATATGACAGATATAAATTATGTATTATACTACATACTTTATGCATTCCATCTTTCTGTCCATCAAGCAGGTGAATCAGGCCAATGCAGGGTAACAAGAGGACAGGGTTTTTACAAGGGCAGCATGAGCATGGGTGCTGTCAGGACAGTTGGCTTAGGTTTACCTTTTTCCCTCACATTCCTTCTTGCTAGTACAGAGCAGTACTGTTTGTGTTGCAGAATAAAGAAGAAATACTTCTTCTTAAAAGAAGTACTGGTGTTGAATTAAAAAAAAAAAAGAAGAAAAAAGAAAAAAAACTCCTGGAAGCATGCCTATAGGTTTTAACTTTTTGAATGCCTATTTTTAAGACTAGATGTCAGCTGACATGGCTCCTTTAAAAATGCACTTTAGATTCAAGGAAAGAAAATACTGAAGCGTAAGCTGTGAAGTCTTAATTGTTAAAAGTGCAACAATAGCTTAAAAACAGGCTGCAAAGCCTGCTCTCACAGCTGGAGGAAGGGACACTTTATTAATAGTTGCAAGGAGCGGGTGGATAGGGCCTGAAAGAGGCAGCAGGGGATATAAAAAGAAGCCTTGTAACATGAAACCATTGCCAAAAACCCCTTTACTAAACAACTTAGGGCAGAGCCTGCCTCACAGGAGCATCACAGTACCCCAGTACCTCAGGATCAGCAGGGCAGGCCTCACCAGAAGCTGAGGTGTGCCAGTGCTGCTCCCCAGCCCTGCTGCTATTGATGGCCAAGCAGGCTGGGGAGGAGCACGAGAGGCTTGCTGGGCAGCAGCCCTGCTCTGCAGGCCTTGCAGTTTCTGCTATGTCCCCCAGACATCCACAGCAGCTGGTAGGCAAGCTGCTCTGCTGCTGAGACCAGGGACAAATAACTCCTGCTACCTGCTGGTGGGCAGGATGCCTCTCTGTGGAGATTTCACTTAGTGGTAACTCCCCCACCCCACGGCCCAATTTAGGCACGACTGCGTGCTTTCTGTGGCCAAGAGCTGACTGCATGGGAGGCAAGGGGACTGTAAAACCCCTCCTGTTGCTCCATCCCCCAGCAGAGCAGTGTCCCAGGTTTGACAGTGACCGGTTGTTTATGACAGATCCAGGCTGCGGTAGTTTTCAAGTTACCCTTTAAAAGATGTCCTTAGACAACTGCCAACAACCCCCAGAAGCTGTGAGAGCCTTGGGAGCTGCAGAAAGGCTGCAACACTGGGGACGTTTTGATTTCATTTGAAAGCATATGTCCATAAAATCGCTTTAGCACTGACTCCCCTTCTTGTGCTGTGCTGGCTCTCGTCTCTGCATGAGATCTGACATTGTTCTCAACTCTTTAATAATGACAGCTCTGCTGGGGAGGGGGATAGAAGTAAAAGCAAAACTCCAAGCTTGATTTTACTTAATTATTTATTTATTTTAACCATCATACGGATTTAATCCAAGTTGCCTGTGCCAGTCATAATCCCTCCTTTCATGTTTGTCCTGTCCATGTGGGTCAATGGCAACTCAATGACTGATGCATCAAATCCACAAACTTGCTGAGGCCGCCAGTATCCCTGGCAGTGTCACAGAGTGCAGATGACACTTATTTTGACTGTGGTACATGGCAGTCTATTCTCAGGGCAGGTCTTTTCAGCGGTCATGTGTTGGTGTGTCTTCCCTGCTTCACTACTGCTCCCCTCTGTTGTAGGTGTTGCACAGGCAGAAAGCATGTTTGCTTTCACCTAAGTTTTAACCATGTTATCAAGTTGGTTTGTTTGCTGTTTTGCTTTTCCTATGAAGGAAATTTTCCTTTTTCATTTACCAGTGATCTTAGCCAGCTTCACTGGAGTTAATGGGAATCTCTGCTCCTACTATGCTGCTGCAATTGTCCCTTCTAATTTTTTTTTTCTTTCTGTGTACTGGACAAAGTATATATAACCTTTAATAGCTACAGTTTGTTTGCAAGGGAAATTAACAAGGTAGGTATTTCCTTGAAGCTTTCCCTGTACATAATTCACTTTGTCCATCATTATTGCCCTCTCTGGGCAGCACCAGAGAGCAACAGAGGGAGTGTGAGGACACAAGCTGTCCTGTTGTTTAGATCTGTTTTGGGACACATAAGCAGTTAGGTAGTTAGAAAACCAGTCCTCCATTCATACGATTATTTCTGGGGTTATATGTGAAGTAGAAACACAAAGGTGGTGTTGCTTGTGGTACTGCTGAGGAGAGTTGGTGTTACTAAGGTGGGAGAGGAGTTGTGTTTTCTGAAGATGCTCAGGATTTTGTCTGCTGAATTCTTAACTTTTCCTGCACTGTGCCAGAGAAATGTTTAAGAGATTACCCTTTTACACACTGTGCAAGAACTTGTCCAGTCTAGTTATAAAAAGGTGGGTGATTGCAACTTCATTAATAATTTCCAGGTTAAGAATCCATTGTGTTGGACTTTGAAGAACATGATCGGATGGAAAGGCAAAGACAAAGGCTCTTTGTTGCAACCACTGATAGGATGAATACCTATGGTTTTCTTGTCAAAGCCAAGCTGGCATGTGGCAGAAGGAGGGAGAACCCCACTCCTCTTCCTGTCCAAATGGTTATGCATGATTTTTTTTTTCCATTAGCACAACCTACAGTGTGGTTAGGTTGTCTCCCTGTGCTCAGGTATGCTTTTGGTAAGAAGGAGCTCCCTTTATTTTGTACATCCCAGCCGTAACAGCAAAATCAGGGTCTGATTCCATGTTTCAGCTGCTACATACCCAAACATGCCCATCAGAAATTTCAGTTCAGTCCCAAGGAAGACTTATTTCTAGTTTTCTAAGTGATAGAAAATTTATATTAGAAATACTGCTAGTCATGCATCTGATCCACAAAAAATGTCATTTACGTTAAAGGAAATCACATAAACTCCTTTGCTCCTTTTGGTCTCTGGCTTGAAGAGCATCGAGCATCCTAGCTATATTAGAACACATTATTTGCCATCCTATCTCATTAATGTTCTGTTGCAGGGGAAATGCACTGCTTCAGGACCTACTCCTTATTAGATAATCTCTAGGGAGAAAAAGGCTGACAGGGTTGAAATTTGTAGCCCAGCTGTTGGGAGAATGCTTGCTGCTATGGGAGAGGCATGGTGATGCTGTGCTTCCGAAAACAGCAAGGCTATTTCTTCCAGGGGCTGAGGCACATTCCCAGTGTGCAGGGGCCCACACCATCATTCCTGAGGTAGGCAACTTTGGAAGTAAGTTTCTCTCTCTGCCTTTCCTTTACTGGCTTTCTTTACTACCTTTTTACCCCCTTTCAGGCATCAGTTGCCTTCATGAGCCTTTTTTTTGTGATAAGTTACTAAAAAACGTAACTAGTTTGGGTTCCCCACCTAAATACCTTAACAGAGATCCTGTGATACTTGCCTTTCTCCCTCTTCTGTAAGGCTTTGCTGTGATTAATGAAAAGTTCAAGCAGTTTATTTAATGACTATTATTTTTTTTCTGAGATTCTTTTCTCTTCACCCTCTCAGCATGTGTGACCTATGCAGTTTCCTTGTGCTTTGTTTCTTTAGACATTCTTCAGAATAAAAAATAACTTTGCTCTGACTTGGACTTTGAACCCTTTGCAATGAAATCAAGTTAGTTTGCCTGGACTTAACTGGTTGGGATCTTAGGGGCTTCTACTGTTTTCTGTGTAGGACATACCATAGCTGATTAAAATAGATTTGATATTTTTTGAGGGGGTCTAATCCTTGAGATCAGCAGTTTGATTTTGATCTCTGATTTATAGCAGTATCACAAAGTTGTAAGGTATCAGTGCAGTCTGACACTCACAGGAAACATTGTAACTACACTGGGGGGTTTAGCTGGGGTTTATAAATCATATAAAATATATCTGAATGTAGAGTCTATGAATGCAGCTAAGTTATTCACTCTCCTCAGTTTTAGAGAAAGGGAGAAGATAGAAAAATACAATTTAATGATATTCTGTCACAGTTTCCAGAACCAGGACTAAACATGATCACACACACAACTATATATATGGCACATACATATGTATTTATGCAATTCTGGACGTGTTCTCTGGCCTTAATTCATTAGGTTATTAATATGCATGCCATATGCTGCATATCTATACATGCACCTATTTAACATATGATAAAAATTATACATGGGCAAAAATGCCTTGCACAATTTGTGGTCTGAGTTACAAGATTTATGCCATGTGAATGTCTACAGTGTGGTATTTTAAGTTTCTCCATTCCTCTGCTGTCCTAGTAAGAGGTGGCTGCTCTAGAAAGCTCTCTAAGCTTTCCACATCGAGACATGCCTCTAGTAATCTCCCCAAAATGTGATGTCAATGGAGATGCAGCTGGTTAAAGGGCTACACAGGGCAAAAAGTGGTATTAGTGGCTAATAAAAGCTAATTCTTTTGCAAGCAAAATTAGCTCGCTTCACTTGCTTGTTATGACTTGAAGTGTCTGGCCATTGAACTATGCATCTGGCTCATTTGTTGCTCTCAAAGAGTTAGCGCCCTGACTGACAGCTGTACTGGACTGGAAGAAAGTATCCCAAATGAATAAGAACAAGAGGACTTCAGTATGTGTGACTTTAGGACAGTAGCAACTCATGCAAACAGCCTTAATAAGCAAAAGAGATGAACCTGACAAAGACTGTGTGTGATATGGATTCTGGCTCAGGGCAGCAATTTTCCTTAAATGACTGGTTCCTGATGCTTAACTTTGTTGCCTGCAGATGCTGCATCCCACTCCCAGTATACACAACTACCAAAAAGACACAAATGTCCAATAGCTGGTCAGAGCAACCCTAAATAATTTCCAGAAGACTAATTTCAGGCAAGTCCCAGATCTTTTTGTGACACTCTGAAGTGATTTAAGCTGCACCAGAATAGCCAAAGCTCTGTGGATGTGTGTGTATTTTTACTCAGTGATGTTTTGGGGTAAATGCCACATCAGAGTTTTTATTATCAAGTTCCTTTTCCTGCACAATGCAGCTGTACCTATTATAAACTCCTTCATCAAAGGGGATAACTTCCTTTTTTTTTTTTTTTTTTTTCTCAATCTCAGATCAGTTTATCCAGAGCAGTTGTCCCTGACTTCCTTAAACTTGCCCTGCATCAAAGCTTTTAAAAAGAGTCTTCTATGCATCCTTTCTTTCCTTAGCACTTACTTAAAAATGTGTGAGTACACGCACACACATGTCCATGCATATTTCAATCAGTTTCTGCTTCAGTCCTGCAGCCTTGTGCCTGATCGGACTGGCAAAAGACCTATGGAAAAGATTGTTGCCAGCAAGCAGTGAAGTATGTGTTCCCCCATGTACTTTGAGTGCTTCAGAATGGTTTTAATGCTTTCTTTATGTGTGAGAAAATTGTTCAAACTTCAAACTGTCTGATAATACCACGCAGACAAATGTGCATTAAGATCAGGATTGATTACTTTTTTCACCATGATATGGTTTTTGCAGGTGATTTGAGACTCAGTGTTAATGCAGATCATTGAGAGTGAGAGCTGGTGATGTTGTCTTTCATGCTGTTAAACCCTTGAATGTTGTTCCTGGATTACAAGAGTATAGAAACCACATGGAAATATTGGTTTATGTTCATAAGTAAATTCGGGTCTCAAACTTCTCTTCATCATCAAACATTATTTGAGGTAAAAGGAGACCTTGGTCTAATGAATGAATTTGGCTCCTGTAGCCAAACATTTCATTACATTCTGTAGCCTGTGATGTTTCTTTCTTTGGACTGCAGGCCCCTGTGAAGTGCTGCCACTAACGCTTTGGCAGAGGCTGGAACAAGAAAGGAAATCTCCCAAGAGGAGACTCATAGGTCCAACTCATTACCCCCAAAGTGACATAGGAAAGAACTACTACCATGTATAGAAATATGATGCCTGCAATTGGGCTTTTGCATCTACATTGTTTTGTTCCCTTGTGAAATTTTTTAGGATTAGCAATGGTTGGGTACAGCGTTGATGCCCAGCCCTGTGAGAGGCTGAGATGGTGAGACAAGGGTATGAATGCTCTTTGCTTACTGAGGATCTCAGGAAATCACGCAAGATGAAACTCCCAGTATGTTCTTCTCACACCAGAAGAGACTGTTCTCACAGAGAGAATGTAAAGGCTTTTTGATCCAATGCTAGACATAAAGGTATACCTAAGTAACGTGGAGAGGAGTTGAACTTAGTCTTTATAAACTACAACTTTGCACATTTAAATAATAAGAATTGCAAAAGAGAGATCTTGTAACAACCAGGATAGTAGAGATGAGAACTGGAGCTAATGTTAGATCCAGAACAAAACTAACCAAGCAAGAAAGCATTTGGCGAGATGAGTTGCTTGCCAGGTTACAAGAAAAGTTCCTGCTGAAGAGCACCCCTCTGTTTAGGTGCTGCTACAATTACAATGGCAGAAATGCACCAACACTGCTGACCATGCTGATATTGCAGGCAACAGCTGCATCTGCTCTGAGTATTGAGTATGGAAGTATGAGGACCAGGTATTACCAGCAAAGACTGGTGGAGAACTTATGAAGATATTTTGACCTCACTAAAAAGTCATAATAGTCTGTTTCTTGTTGGATCAGACAGTTTCTCTGAAAGGAATCAAAAATACTGAAATAATGTTGGTGTTCACCTGTTCTTGTGTCTGCTCCCGTTAGCTTTTACCATTCATCTTCTCAATTTGTGTCACCTAGTAAACTAAATCTTAATTTTGAATCCAGTACAGGATGTTAGAGGTTGGAATCCTGTTCATCTTTTTCTCCCTATGGGTATACTGTGGCCAGTGCTACTACCTTTCCCTCTGCTTTGCCTGCTGAAGAAATTCAGCTCTATACAAATACTCTGGATTGTGTTCTACTCTTACCATTGTACCTAACTGCTCCCAGTTCTTCTTGGTGCCTCCTTATGAAAGGCAAAAGCCATGTTCAAACCTCTCTTGCTTCTACAATATCCACACTTTCTCCTGCTCTAACTCGACACCTGAACCTTTTTTTCCCTCTTGCTTTTCAGTCCTTGGTTGGGGGTGAACATACCCACCACCACCACTCACACCAAAACCAAACCACCATGCTATACCAACAGCTGGCAGTGGTGCAGTTGTCCCAGTGCTCAGCTGATAAAACCAACAATGCTGAAGCATTTCTGGTTTTGCTCTTTGAACTCCTTCTCAGAGATGGTTTCCTTATTTGTCTCATCAGCACTGATTTGCTTTGTGCTCTGAGCACAATTGTGGTGAGAGTCATGGCAGCTAGATCTCCGTTTTTACCTAGCATAGGCAAGGCAGCAATGATGACTGCCACTCCCTGTTTGTTTGTTTGTTTATTTATTTATTTATTTATTTATTCTTCTTGGCAAACTTCCCAGAAACATGTGTACCTAATTGTAATTTACTCTCTGTGGTCATCAGCAATATCTCAGCTTTTAGTATCTCAACAGCGTCTCTGCATTTAACTCTGTATGTGTCTAAGGCCTCACCTGCTCTCATACAGAGCAACTCACTCTTACAATCAGGTTGAATATATGCAGCAGCAATGATGGCACTTAGTGTGCATGCAGTTAATTCCCTCCTCATTTGCTGCATGATGTGACTTAAGAAGAAGAAAAAAAAAAGCCAAAGACAAAAACAAACCAACAAAACCCCAATCACCTTGTTTTAGTAAAATAGTATTACTTTCTGGGTAAGGCTTCCTTTCCTTCCTTATGAAGAACCATGATGCCTGTACATCTAGTATATCACATTAGAGCTGTTATTGAGTTTTAGGCAGAGGAGTGGTTGTCTGTCAAAATGCTTCAAAAGAAACCATGAAATGAGCAGGTTGTAAATCCAGGAGCAGCACAAGAGTGGGAATATGAGACCTGCAATATGTAATATGAGTCTTTTAGTCCAACCTCCCCTATTTCCACCCTGGTGCTAAATATACTGCTGATGTCCTTGCAAGAAAACAAATGCACTGAGCTTGGAAAGGCAGTGGACACCGTTAGTTTAGGGGTTGTTTTCATTTCTGCAAGTTTCATGGATGATACATTAAAGAGAGGCCAAATTCTTGTAATCATGTGTTTGGTGACTATGGTGGTGAAGTTTTGCAAATATCAGGTCATCTTATTCAAATGTCTAATTTTTAATCTAGCATTTCATTTTTAAAATATATTTTCAATTAAAAAAGAATGACAACTTTTAATCCAGGTATATGTCTTGCTCTTCAGAAACTTTGATTTTAGATTAAGATAACTAAAATCTGCATTTGAAGTGCATGAATAACTGTTGTAAAGTAGGAAGGTTATTTCAAAATGTTTAACTTGCCTGCAGCATTTGTTTTAGATAAGTCAGCAGTAGCTTGCTAACCACTGTTGCGTTGTATTTTACACAGGAGAGAGATAACCACCCTTGTGAGTCCTGGAACGAGCCTTTTCCTACTGTTGGTGAAGTGGTGGCTTGAGCTTTCTTACTTCTAACGTCAGGGGGAAGTGTTGAAAATACAGATTCAGATCAACTCGAAAATAATTTAAAAAAAATCATTGTGCATTCTCTTTGTGTGGATGTAAAAATAGTGGATCAACTTTGAAATATAATTATCAGCTTTTTCAGATTTCATGTTTTTCACCCATCACCATTTTTTCTGTCCAGTTTAATCATTTTGCTTAGGAAAAAGTGTGATTTGCTACTTTGTACTCTTAGCGCTACTGATGCAGAACAAAAAGCCCATCTAGGGTTGTGATCAGCACCTCTTTAGGATTTTTCAGCTTCTTCTGACTGATGACAGCAACTTGTTTTGAACTTTCATATGAAACTCTCACTTGCTGCATAATAGCATAATAGCATAATGGTTTCTCTACGCACTTTGATATAGCTTTGTCACAAGCTTCCCAAGACCTCTCTCTCGCCACTCAATTAATAGTACAAGTCTCTTCGTACAGCTTTTATCTCAGAATTTTCTAGTTAATCCATTGGTAAATGAAGTATTTAATGGCTTCTAAAATATTAAATGTTGGATACAAGTTTCTTATAAAGTCAGGTAGATTTTGTGATATATTTCAATGTGTTTTGTATAAACTGTAAGTTTCCCTAAATAATTGTGATTGTCTCACAGACATGTAATACTTTTTGTAGTGTGTTAGTAAGAGGCTTAGTGCCCCGTCCTAGAGCATGTGGATTCCTAATGTCTGAATCTGATGCAAATCACAGGGTGAGGACTTGCACGTGCCACATGGCTTGTCATGGCTTGTGTGCAGGAGCACCCACACCAGGTTGTGCTTTGCTGTGCCCCTTCCTCTCCAGGGCCACAGTATCAAGTGACAGTGGAAGGACCATGGCATGCATTTCCAGTGGAGCATCCCTCTCCCTGGTCACTGTGGGGGACGAGTTTTGTTTATGAAACCAGATAGGCTCTACAAAGTTTGAGGTGTTTTGCTTTTTGCTGGTTTTCCAATCTAGGCCCTACAATGAGCTTACTGCTGGCTGAATGCAGAGAATCTCCTCATATTTCCAAGTTGTAGTACCTCAATCTACAAAACTGTGAGGTAAGGATCAAATTATTTTGAGATATTGATATGGAAAGTACCATGGCTATTTTGATTGTACAGTTTGCAGTTAATATCAAGAAAGAGAGATGCTATGTTCTCAGAACAAAATCAAATGCTGTGAAACTAGTGGAATTGTAACAATAGCATAAGGAATGTTGGTAAAATACCACCATGGCATGGCTTGAATTAGAAATATTGTATATTTGCCACATGTTAGGAACCACTAACTCCAGTGGCTACTGTAACTGATTAAGAATTGTATGGGAATCTGTTTTCAATATCTGTGCTTTAAAAATATCTTGGAATGTAACACTGGAAGAGAAAATATATTTCCTGAAATCTGCCTCAGCACCATTTTGTCACTGTCTATTTTCTGTTTCTATTCTTTAAAAAAAACTATTGTTTTTGATGCAGATTCTTCATTTGTCCAAAGAACTGACATTTATCAGAGGTCAGAACTGACATTTATCAGAGGTCACATGCTGAAAATCAGCTGTGTAGTTTTAAATACACTGTTTTTTTTTTTTTTTTTCAGAGCGAATATAAGCATTTAAGGAAGAAGAATCTATTTGCCTTTTTGATTTCTACAGCATAAAATACAAAGCAAACATGTAACATTTTTGGTATACTTCTATTGCATCCATTAATTTTTGCCTTAAATATTTAACCATGACAGTTGAAAAGGATCTGATGAAACATGTTTTTTTTGTTTGTTTGTTTGTTTGTTTTTTATATTTCCTATGGTCTATACTTAAAGTGTGTTGAGAGCTAAAACTGACTAAGCCTGAATGGATTCTTTAAAGCATTATCTTCTGCTTTGTATTAAGGAAATGAAATCTGTAGAGCTACAAGTATTATCATGACCACTTTTCTTCAGTAAGGACTCGAACAGCTTTAACTCACTGATAGTGTCATTTCTGCCTTGTGGGCTTGAAAGCTCAATGAGAAGACTTTCCCATGCCACAGAGAAGAACAGAATAGCAACAGTTCTGTGAGTACAAATTCTAACTCTGACATATTTCTTCTGTGGTGTGGAACAAATTATTGCTTCCCCATATGCTTTAGTTTACTTGCCAGCTATATAAAACCTCTAAGGTGTATATGTTTGCAAAATGCTTTAAAGCAGTGAGGTGAAAGCATAAAGATTCTTAAAAATAAATAAAAAAATAAAATTCTGTGAGGTCTCAGCCTGCCTCTGCAATTATCGGTAGTTTTACCATAGACTTACATGGTCTGGAGTTAGGTTTAGACTAAGTCCTGTTAAAATCCCAGCTATAAAGAACTTTGTAATTCAAAGTACTGTTGTCAATGATTGCTTTTACTTAAATTTCTTACTTTATATATTCACATTAACAAGTTTTCTAGTTTCTGTGACACTTCATTCAAATCAGAACTTGATCCTCCAGAGATGTATTAGGAAGTATTTGGACAATTTAGTTGGTCTGATTCCTCATCTACCTAAAAAACATACCTTCCATCATTCTTAAAGCCATATCAGAAAAGCAGCTGATGCCTGAAATATCACTGTATTTAACTGCTTTGGTCTTGAAGTGGCAAGGTCCATAGTCCTTGAACCTCAAAAAGCATTTTAATAGTCTCCCATATTTTCTTCAATAAAGGATTCTGGCTTCAGAGTCCTGACCGCCCTGAAATGTGGTATAGAAGTAGGAGTGAGTGCTCTTCAGATACCAACCACAGGATATAAGATTAATGGTCTCAAGTTGCATCAGGGGAGGTTTATAGTGGATGTTAGAAATAATTTCTTCATGGAGAGGGTTGTTAAGCATGGGAACGGGCAGACCAGGGAAGTGGTGGACTCCTCATTCCTGGAGTTATTTAAGAGACATGGGCATGTGGCACTAAGGGACATTGTTTAGTGAGGGGTCTCTGTAGGTCAGGTGAATGATCTTGAAAGTTTCTTCCAACTTAGGTTATTCTATGATTCTGATTAAACAAGTAAGACTTGAGGATTGTCTGTCCCAGCTCCAGAGCACTATAATCCTCCCTGCAAGGTGTCCTGGTCAGTAAGTGAAGAGCAGCATTACATACTAGCACCCATATCTTCTGCTGAGCTTAGTATTGCCAGGTTGTTCCAGGACCTGTGGCTCATTCAACATCTATACATCTGTATATGGACCAGTGATGAGCTGATTATAGAATCACAGAGTATCCCAAGTTGGAGGGGGCCCATAAGCATCATTGAGTCCAACTATTGGCACCACACAGGTCTACCCAAAAATTCAGACCATGTGACTAAGTGCACAGTCCAAATGCTTCTTAAACTCCAACAGGCTTGAGTGCAGTGACTACTGTCTCTGGGGAGCCTGTTCCAGTGTGCGAGCACCCTCTCAGTGAAGAACCTCTTCCTGATGTCTAGCCTGAACCTCCCTTGTTTCAGCTTGATACGATTCCCGTGGGTCCTATCGCTGGTCACTAAAGAGAATAGATCAGCGCCTGCACCTCCAGTCTCCCTCATGAGGATGGTGTAGATTGTGAGGAGGTCTTCCCTCAACCTCCTCTTTTCCAGGCTGAACAGGCCTAGTGACCTCTGCTGCTCCTGGTACATCTTCCCCTCTAGGCCCTTCACCATCTTTGTAGCCCTTCTCTGGACACTCCCCAATAGTTAAATGTTTGCACATCGACGAGGATGGGATTCGAACCCATGCGTGCAGAGCACAATGGATTAGCAGTCCATCGCCTTAACCACTCGGCCACCTCGTCCCATTATATCCTCATGCTAATTGATTATGGATCTCCCATACATCTGTTGGTTTCCTAAGGGGTGTAGTAGAACTTTTCTCTAAGTCAGAATAAATCTAGCGGTTCTTCGGCTTGGAAGCCGTGCTGCCAAAGGGTTTGTATAGAATATGAACATTACAATACAGTAGTAATGCTTGGTAGCAAATTAGTGGCTTGATTGCTTACAAACTTTGATTTTAATGAAGTTATTTTGGATGTCAGAGCTGCAAAAGCTGAAATGATGTAAGTTGTTGGAATAAATGTGTATGTAGAGTTTAGCCTTCGTGGCTTTGCAGAATTACTCAGACTTCCTTTATTTAAAAAAGGAACCACATTTCCCACGTACTAAAAGCGACAGTCCTATGGTAAAAAGAAGAACGTGGTAATCCACAGCTTGATGATAGGGGACAGTGTGATGCAGAAATGAACATCACTTCAACATGCTGATCCAGATGCACATGCATGTGTTGAAGGGTTCACAGCTCAGAGGAAATGGTGTAGTGGTTAAAAGCTACCTGGCAAATGAGGTCAGACCTGAGCCTTTTGGGAGTTATGTACTCAGTGGCCACAACATTCCTACTTTAAAACAACTTATTTAATTATCACTACAAGTAGCAGATGCCCAGATGAAGCTTTTTTTTTTTTTTTTTTTTTTTTTTTTATATAATTTGTATTGTCCGAGTTACTTTTTATGGTTGGAACTGAGCTAGCAAAATAGTCAAAAGCATTTGAATGGCCATGGCACATTTCATACTATATAACTACTGACAAAATATAAATGATTACATGGTACCTAGAAACATGCATGCCAGGTTTGTAGTGTGAGAATGTCTTGGGAAATGAGATTACTGTCTACATGGGAGATGCTCTGGTAAAGCTCTCATTAGTTATATGAGCATGCTTGATGAGGATGAAATGTGTCCGGAAGCTTGAGCAAACACTGTCTGAACCAAGTGGTCATCCTGTTAATAAAAAAGACTCCCAGAGTTATACTGTTGTGATCCATCTCTCTGTGTGCGTTCACGCATCCTGTTGTTTGATCCTTGAAGCTGTAATGGCCAATTGGGGCACTTGAAGCCAGCTGTTCAATGACACAAATAGGTGTCTGATAGGATTGCCAGAGTGATAAGGTACTTACTTCTTCTGATTTATGTTGATTTTGTGATACTCTGTGGGCTAGGTCCACCAAAAGACTTGTGCGTTTTAATGCACATAATAGGATTTGCCCAGGAAAGATGTACAGGATTCTATAATGCACCTAGGAACAAGCCTGGGTTCCTTGGGAGGGAATGCACAAAACTCGGGCACACACTGAGGAAAAAACTGCTAGAAGGTAGGAAATGTTCAGTGGAAAGATAGGACTTGGCTTACTGCACCTTTCTCTGCATTCTTGACACAGTTCATCCCCCTTCCTCCCAGGATCCACAGCCATGAGTTGCTCTTGAGTGACACTGCTTTGCATGGCATGGCTGACATAATCTTCCGCAGTTTTCCAAATTAAAAACAAGTCCCCAGAACTTTTTATTCAGTTTTTAGTCCCTTCTTCAGATCCTAGAAATGTCTCCTTTTCAGCAGCTTTTCATTGTGCTAATTCAGAGCCCACCACTCCTTTTCTCGCATTGTCTTTACTCCCTCTAAAGATAAATCTCTCCTTCTCTGGCCTTGCTTAACTGTCTTGCAGCAGTTACAGAGACATTAGCCACCCAATTTGGTGGCATTAACACTGATACTGACCTACTGTTTTATTTCTTTTCTAATGAGATTTAGTTTCTCCAACTGTTGTCTCAACTATGAGCATCATTCTTTTTGCAGTATTGATATTTTTCTGCTCTAGAAACTTGTATGTTTTCGGTATGAATCCACAGAATCAGCTAGTCTAACCTTTTATATGAGAAAAATCCATGAAAAACATATAATGAGGAGGGAGAACTTTAGTGTTGCTTATGGTCATTTATGGTCAAGAGCTGAAGAGCTGTAGGTGGTTTTAGATATTTTGTGTAACAAAAAATGGATGAATCTTGAGATATGGAAGAATAGTGATGGTAGTCTTGCAAAATAAGACCCACAGTATGATGTTGAGAGAATTAATCATGTTAATTCCAGGATGTTTAAAGTGACATATTTTATTGTTCGCAATAGAAAGGGAACTAAAAAGAGGCAATGTTCAATTATTCTCATTAATTAATAACAAAGAAGGAAAGAAAGAAAAGTAGCCCTAAGCATTGTGAGGGTAAAATTAGGATTATATATCAGGGAAAAGTTTATAAATATAAGGACTCTTAGCCAAGGAAAGCAGCTGCCAACTGAAGTTTTGGAATCAGTACCACTGAAGATATTCAGGGATAGGCTAGACGTCTATCTATCAAAAAAAGGTAAAGAAATCAGTCCAAACACAATATAGGGATAAGCTAGCAGAGTTCCCTGCCAAATTTCTACCCCAAATAGTATATGATTTAGTTGGAATAGAAAAGGAAGACACTTTGGCCTGCTAAATCTTTCACTGTTGTAATCTTAAAAGCATAAATCCTTTTTTTTTTTAAAAAAAAAAAACACAAAAAACCACCACCACCACCAACAAAAAACAACCACAACATATCATTAGTAACTATTTTATTTTTTAATTTGTTTATTGTAACTAGAGCATGTAAACTTTGCTGTAGTTTCCAGACACATCAATCCAAGCTTAGACTGCTGTTGCATTTTCTTGAAATTAGTGAATTTGTGTGTGTGTGTAATCAAAAATAGCTTTTAGAATGAAAAATTGTTTCATAACATCTTTTCATAGCAGTTTTCTGGACATTCTCAGGTCACTCATACCAAGCCTGAGAAAAGACTGTCAGGAAAACATTTATTTTTTGCGCATTTAATTAGAGGTACACAGGATAGTAAGACTGGAGGGCTAGGATGGTTACAATGGTATGCGTAACTGTTCAGCCTATGTCACAGGTTCAAACAGAGGCCAAGAGGGATATTTCTCATTCATTACTGTTGAGTTAGTTTTCAGATGTGTGGTGATGGCCTACTCCTAGTGTGTAGGTAGGCAACAATGCATTGTTCAAGACTGAAGTGAGCCGGTAGGCTAACACTATCGATCATCAAGAACTAGTGTCCAGATTTTTGGGGTATGTAATCCTTTAGCATGCAAGTAGCTGCCTATTGCCGTTCTGAGGAGTGTGAGGGTGCTCACCTTAAGCTGGAGTTAAGTGGAGTTCAGGTATTTAAGTTTTGTACAGAAAGCTAAGTAGACATTTATCTGGAACGTTGAACACGTTTAAAATTACAGCCTAGTGTCCTCAACACATTTTCAATGAAATTCTGATTCACCACTTTTTTATGCAGCCTCAGTAAGCCCCTGGTTTCCCCATTGTTTATCCCAGCGCATACTGTATAATGAAGATGGATGACAGTTTATTAGCTTTCAAGTGCACTGCTGTAAGCGTAGTCTCCTTTCACGGCAATGTCTTCCAAAGCGTCAGTCATATCAGAGGGAGCATGCTAGCACAGAGATAAAGCAGATAACACAGTTTTAAAGAGGCTCTTTCAGACATGAATTATCCACAGACTGAGTGAATACCAATTTTCTGCAGAAATGTAACACAGAATTTAATATTTGCACAGTCTGCACCTTGCATTTCCTAATTTATACTGTAAAAATTAGTGCTAGTTTCTAAAAAATACCATAGAGTAGATCAAGGATAATTCTTTGCAAAAATAAGCCTGCCATGTTGTCGCTCTGCGTTATGAAAATGTGTCATATGATGGGAGGGAAGTACAAATATCTGCTATCTGATGTATACAATTGAAAAGGGAAAACACAGAGTGAAATCATCAAGCCACATTAGCCAAAGTGAACAGATAAGAGAGGGTATAACACTGGAATTGTAAACAATCAAGCAAAGATTACACCTCCACGTGGAGTACTGCGTGCCTTTAGATGTGAAAACTGAGATGTTAATAGTAGTGTTGTATCACAGAAAATGTTCAAAATGCTGTATGGATGGGGCTATAATAGTTATAGTGCAAAAACCTCTGCTACTTTTGTGTATTGTTTTAGGTTGTTCTGCAAGTGACACGAACAGGGAAATTAAATGCCTCTGACCTCCATTTGGTCTCATGCACGTATGTACCCCCCTACCCTGCTTCGTGCCACCACTTCCCTGCCATCAGCACCTGACGTCACCTCTGGTGGGTCACAGTTCTGCCTGCTGCCCCACCGGCCAGGCCTGGCATTCAGCACCCCCTGCTCAGTCACTGCAGGGAACAGGCCATGCTTGTGCTGCTGTCTTCCCCTCTGAACATTTCTTTGGAACCACATGTGCTCAAGTTTGTAACTACGGATGTCAGATAAAGTGCAAGAAGGCCTCGGCGTTGGAAGCATTTGCTTTTGAATGTGGCAGTCTGTGTTTCCCTCGTTCCTTCCCCTCCACCACCAAGAGAGGAAACCGCAACGACAGGAAGAGTGCACTATTTCCTCTCGAAGAGACTCACTGCTGCTGTCAGTAGCTCACGTTTACCAGATTTTGCTCTTTTGGTGTTGATGCACATTCAGCTGCACAAAAGGCAAGACTTACCTGTACGTTTTATGTCACTTAAATAGGACATTTTGGTAGAGGAAGCAGTTGAGTCAGGCTACCACAGTTGACCATTCAGGCAGTGCTGCTGGCTTCTAGTTGTGCTCCTTCTGTGCTATTTTTGTGCTATTTTTTACCTGTTTGGAGTAATTTATTTATATATAGGTATATATCACATGACAAGAATTTGGGGGATTTTCTGGAGCTAATAATATTCTCACAAGACTTGCACTGAGAAGGCAGAAGAAAAACCTCACCAAAAGAAGCTCTGAGGGAACTTTAGAAAAAAGGTCCAAACACATTTGATGTTCTTCTCGAAACACGTTTCTTCCTGTAGAGAGCACACTTCATTACCCTTGTTGTGCCACTTCATCACTTCTTGTTAACTTTTTATATTTTACCCGCTAGTCCAGTTCAGTGTTTTTTATTCCCTAGTTTTCAGCCACTACCCTTCTCCAGTTTTCACTCTTTCTAGCTTGCATGCAGACACCATCTGGCTTTACCCCCGGGGTTTCCTAGACAAGGGCAATCTAGTTAGCCTTGTGAAATCCAAACCCCAGGCAAAACAAAAACTGCACAAAACCTCACAAGATAGGTTTTCTCACTTCTGTGTGAGAAGCATTCACATTACCCAGAGCAACTGTAAGAAAAGAAATCACATCCTGAACAGTGAGTTATCATCTCAACCAACCTACTCTTTTCCACGTTTTTTTTTTTTTTTTTCTTTCAGTTTACTGGAGTTAGTACAACCCTTTTCCAGTCAAGAGAAAGTTTGACCAGCATGTGTGTAATTACAGAGCATCACAGTAGAATATCATGTAAGGAACTCTCTATAAAGAAGCTTGGAATAAAGTAGATTGAGAACAGATTTAGTAAAGAAATCAGGAAGTCATTCCAGTGTTCTTTTCTTTTCTAAATAACATATTGCAAATAAAATCTCTGAGGCAAGATTCTGGACAAAGACATTCCTTTGAAAAGAGACCACAAGATTCCTGGTCTACTTAATGGATAAAACAGAAAGAATTGGTCTCAGTCTGGGACACTCAAAATGCTGATCTTTTTGAACAATGTGGACAAGTACAGAATATTGTCCAATGTATTCATCCTTGAGCAGAAATAAACTAAATTTCTCTGTGCTCTGCCTGTCTCATAGGAGCTGAAAAGAACCCCTCCCTTTCTTTTTTATGTTTGCATGTTTCCAGAGTTTCCAGAGGAATTCACTTGGGCAAGGCATTTCAAGCTGTATATCTGATTTTCCCTAAGAAATTATGATCTAGTTGCAAAGTTCAGAGGTTTGGTGCCAGAGATTCTTTTATTTATGGTTTTAGGAATCTAAAGTCAGTAGGCAACCGTGTACATACATAGGTGTAATTCCCTAGTGTTGGTCACAGAGTGAGGACTGAGGTGAGTTCACAACAATGCAGGCTTCCCAGCTTCTGAACTATAAACACTTGATTTTTATTTTTCATCAAATTTGTTGTATTTTGCTGTCTTCTCTGACTTCATAGTTCATTCTTGTTTGTTTTCACAAGAATGACACAAGTCATGACCCTCCTCTGATGGCATAGGTGCAGTGAAATGAGGATGAACAAGTTTTCTTCTGGTGTACACTATGAAAAGGTAAAGTATAATCACCCACTTCCGTGTGTCACAAATCTGTGAAAAGGAGGTGTATGTAGCAGTAGTCGGGGACCACTGATAAAGACAGCAAATTTCAATGTTATATGTCCTCTGAGAAGCAGTATATATTGCTTCTTGTTCCCAATATGACTGAGGGTGTATGACATTTAGATGATAAAAGCTTCTCTTATAGGAAGTAGGTGACATATCAGATGTGCTATCATTGCTTTGCAGTATTCCCCAGTGAAAACCATAATTTCACTTTGGTTTAATGAGTCTGCCCTGATGACATTGGTAGGTTTATATTTTGACATGAACAGGAGAGTAGAAGTAGACAAGCTAATGCTAGCAGGGGAGGCAGTGTCTGAAATTAATTACACAACTAGAATTTTGTAGCCTGGAACTGAGCTTTTGTTGCTCTGTGAGCTTTCTTCTAAAATGGTGGCCTTTTCAATGGTGTACAGAGAAATATCTTGCTGGTTTAAGTTCTTGTGTCATTCAATAGACTCAGTTATTTAGCAACAGTCTCAGAATGGTGACTTTAAAAGGGTGTGAAATGTAAATCAGCAATCTCTGTTTTGAATTACAGTACATGCATGGCTTCCTTTTCAGTCCTAATGAAGGAGTTTGGAGCTGGAGACCACAACATGTTTGAATTAATTTTGATGTTCCTTTTGCACATTTCCAAGGTATCTAAGATGTGGCTAATAATAATAGCAGGTGTTGTCTATTTCTCTCCGCGTGTGGCATGAAAGTAGTGTGGCCACAGAGCTATGTATTATTTACATGGTGTCAACATGTCAGCAAGTGGGATGGCAGAAAGCCAGATTAAATCACTTCTGATTTTAAATACAGGACACTGAATAATAACGCTGTGTCACACTTGAGGACACTGGAATCTGGCAAATCAGCAGTAGCTCAGTGTGCCAAGTTCATTTGAATGGCTTTTTTTTTTTTTTTCTTCTTTCCACAGAATGATGAAGGAATCAAAATTGAGACAAGGAAACTGTGTAAAATCAGCTCCCTCTCTCCCCAGTCAGAAAATTGTATCCAGCAAAAGGGCATTCTTTGATTGCTTAATATGAAGATGCACAGATCTCTGCCCTCATCCAGCAGTGTCTGCTCCTGGGAATGCATAACCACCCTATGGTGCATCTGTTGGCCTCTTTGTTGGCATCTTTCTTGTCTCTGTAAGTGGAAAATCTGTTTGGTATGATTATTTTCTTCCATTACCTTTTTGCAGAAGCTAGTGTAACAGGTCCACAATCTCCAGTGGGTCCTATAAGTGTATATGTAGGAAGCAATCACATTATTTAGAATGGGTGCTTTAAGGGTTTGAGGTTTCCTGGGCATACTGAGCAGATCTAGGAGGGCTGCTCTTAGCCATTTTTTTCTGCAGGAGCTCTGGTATCTGTGTCACTCCTAGGGCTGGTTCAACTTGCCAGCTGGTAGAAAACTAACTCAGCAAAATAATAATAAAAAAAAAGGATAGTGTTGTGTTGGTTTAGTAATCCAAACGGGCTTATTGAAGGGCCACATGAAAGTCAGAGAGGGTGGAAGGGAAGCAATAGGCCTGCATGCCAGGAAAGGGAGTATGCAGGGAGAAATGTAAGGAGCAGGACTGTTAGATGAATTCAGCCATACTGTGAAACCTCAACCCAGAACACTTAATGCGCAAGGAGGGAGCTGTTGGAAGGTTAAAAGAAGCATCCAAAATACTGGGATTCGTTTTACCTCATCACCATAATACTTTTTTTATGGAACTAGAGCTATATACACTCATAAAACCCTTTTGCTTTTCTTATTTTAAAGGATAATGCAACCAATGGAATCGGTACACAGTTCTTTCAAGTTAAATGTTTAGTTCAACATTCCACTTCCATTTCCTGGTAGAAAAAGTTTTATATGAAAGCAACTTTAACCTTTCAAAAGGGTTCATTTATTGTTACGTTTGGTATCAGCTTTCCAAAAAATGCAGTCTGCATTTGGCATGTTATAGTTTCTGGTTTTAATATTGGTTTAGAAAAAAATGGTCATGTGCCATAAGTCAGAAATAAAATATTGCGCCAGAATTCTCTCTGTACATGAATTCACCCCAGGAGCGAGTGGTTTGAAGTAAGTCCAATCACTTAAAGCCAAGACTTGGGCTCATTCTAACCATGAACCAGCTGGTAACAAATAACACATTCAACTCTCGGCCACAGGAAACTCTTAGGTTGCCTTTTTATAGACGACTACAGCCCTAAAGCTCCTGAAGCACAAGGAGTATCGTACGGACTTGGAAAGTGTTGAACACCTACCATATGCACATAAAGAAGGGTAATAAAGATGAAAGGCCTGAACTGAGCTTTAATTCCCGATTTTCTGCTTTTGATTTATCAGCTGCTTCTGCATTGCTGCGATTTTCTTTGGCCTAAAATTAGGTAGAAGATGCTTGAATTGCTTAGTTTGATCAAATCAGTCAAACTTTAGCTTTTCTCTGTCGGTGTAGCAGATGATAAATATAAAACTTGTGAGAACTTTCTTGCTTTCTTTAGAGCATTTTTCTGCAATCATTTCTAAACTGCTGTGGACAGTTCCTGCTGGTCTGTCACTACTAGTGCTGCAGTCATGGTGAGAGGGGCACTGAGTTAGTTGGTCTGGATCAGGATGACTGTGAACTTGAGCTAGGGCTGGCTTGGTTGGGTGAAGTGCCATAAAAACATGGCTGAGGTGCTCTGGGGACCTTAACAGCTTCTCTGCATAATGCTGAAGTGTGCAGTGAGACCATCTCAGCTGTCAGTTTCAGTCAGGAGTCTCTGCACTGTGGTCCACTGCCATGTGTGGATGTATTCTGGGAATTACCCTCCACAGGACTTCTGCCATCAGTAAGCACCTCTCATAGAAAAAAAGGGCCTTCAGACAGGCCTGGCCATGAGTGAGACAATAAAGGCTAATCCTCTATGCTGCTGAGCCTCAGCTTCTAATAAAGGACTCAGAACTTATAAGGGTAAAGCTTCAAAGTGAGTACAGATTTACAGGGGGAGGGCAGATAAGAGGGTTGTAGCCCACCCATTAAGACCACCTGGTCTTAATATATGGTAGCAGTCAGTCTTCATGTGACACACTCTTTCCGTATCCTAACCCCATTCCAGGGAGTGAGATTTCCAAGAATTCTGCTGGTGATGTACTTGTCAAAGTTGGGTACACTACAGAACCTAAGTCTGTCAGTCATACATAGTAGTTTTATTATCCCTTGAACTGTGGCAGCTAAACCTGACAGTGATGGTGAAGCAGAACCTTAGAAAAATAATGTTTATGGCATTTAATATCACTAATCTTTTTGAATGATGAATGCATGCCCAATACTTGGAAGATGTAAAGGTCTGCAAAAATGCAAACTATCAATTTATCTGGAAATGTGTTTTGTGGCATCTCAAAAAGTACTCTCATTTTTTATTCCTTTTTTGTACATGTGCAGGAGTTCTCATGAATTTTCGGCAATGAGTCCATCTGGGAATAATTTCATTGTGAGAAGAAGGCTTCCATTCTATCAAGAAAAAAGGCTGCATGGAAATCACGGAAAGCTACAGAAGAAAGTATCGGCCATTGTTTGAAAGCATTGTGGCCTGTGAAGATGGAAACCAGAAAGGGGATTTGCCTCCAAATTTTATAAGCTTCTAGAAACTCAAATGATGAGAAACAAATGTGAAAAAAAATCACAAAAGTAGTGGTTACTAAAAAAAATAATTATTAAAACCCTGTTGCTTTTATGATGAACAGACCTGGTTAGAAGGATATTAATTGTCTGGAATACCATCGTTTAAACAGGTGGAGATATTCCCAGTATTTTTTGGTTGCTTCCTAGATTAGTATTAAACTTCTCAGTTGCTAACAATGAAGTTATCAGCCACTGGAACAAATTATTGAGGAACAGTGAGCTTACCATTTCTTGAAGTCTTCAAACAGAGTGGATGGTATACTTTAGCAAACAATGGAGACACACAGCTGGGTGAAATTATATGGTTGTACTAAAAACAGGGAACATGAGATATTGTATGTGGTCCTTTCTAGCCTTAACAGCTATGGATCTATAATTTCACAAATACCATTACAAAGCACTCCTCAGATGTAGTGATGACCATGGCAACAATCTGAGTGCAACTCCTGATTTGGGGTAGATTATTCTAAAGTATTTTGAGAAATTACAGACCTATAATAGAGTTTCTACATGGTACTGTCACTGCGCAGTCATTTTACTATCATAAAGGAGCACTGTAATTTTATATTAGAAATCCCTTTTTGAGGACTAAAGAGACTCATGCTCTCCCCAAAACCGCTCATTGTACTTCAGTTCTTTAACGAGCATATAAACAAGTAAGCATGCATACTGCTGCTTTCTTGATATATATTTCAGCCATTACAACGAGAAATAAGTATGCACAATTTACTCAGTGAAATAAAAAGCAATCCACACAAGAAATTCTAAGATATTTCTCATTAATGTAGACCATTTCTAAGCTAAAATAATTTTCTCCTCCTTGTAGTGTGATCTGGCATACTGATTAAAAGAGAATAATTTTCCATAACTAGTCCTGCAGTTGAGAACAGCTAAACCATTTTTCCCCAGATTTCTAATATCTTTGGGCATTGTTCACTGTCAAAATTTAAATACAGTGGGATAGTTGGAAGTTTGGGAAAGGTATAACTGACTGAGCAGTTGGGCATGAACAGAAATAGTTCTTCAACTTTGAGAAGTATTTTATTTTTCTATAAAGAGAGAAGGAATTTATTGACTGCATGCTTAGAAGGAAGACTGTGCCATTTCATGATAGCTCTCGAACATCATATTTAAAACTTCATTTTTAACTTTGATTTAAAAAAGAGAAAAAAAAAAACACAACAAAACAGTAGCCAACACTAAAAAAGACTTCAAGTTATATGTATAGCATATTCTATTATCATCATCACCATGGCGGTCACAAAACGGTATTCCTTCAATATGGTTAAACCATCTCATTAATCTTAAAACAAAATTACTGTGGTGCCAGCATGACTTCCACCCAGAAACGTGAGTTTGACAGTATAGTTATGACGCTTGGGATAGTAAGACTAACTTGGAATAGTAAGACTAACACTAGATTTGTCAAAACATAATGGTGTAGTTTTTCAGCTACTTCAGGAAAAGGTGATAGTTTAGTGTCCAGGATGGATATGCATAACTCCAGATACGGATTTGGGGGTGGTGGTGGTTAGATTGTAGTTAATGGATAGTTACTTTTTTTTTTTTTTTTTTTTTTTAATTGTTTCTCAAACTCTCTTTCTTGCTCATTTCTTTTATACTTGCACATTGTGCCTAAATATCTCCACAATTTCTCAGCTGGAGGGCTGTCTCGAAGACATGCTTTAGCCAAATGCATAGCGTGTGCCTCTCATATATTAGGAACTGAGCACAGCATGAGAGCCCAGTAAAATCTGACTGCTTGTCATATGCGGGAATTCAGATTGCTTTATCAAGCAGTCTTTTCTGATCTTAAGTTCCATAAATTTATGACTTGTGCTTATTCAGATAAGTTAATTTTTTTTCTTGCTACTCTGTTTTGTACTTTGGGGAAAAGATGATTGGAAAAACTGGATGCTGCAAAAGGGAAGTTGCCCCTGACTTCTCTTAAGCTTTTCAAATATGGTATCCTTTATTTTTATTTTATTTTTTTAATTTTTATCTAGTTTCTCATAACAGTCTCAGCATGAACAGTGACTAATTTATTTGTCAGGCAAAGGCCCTAATAAAATATAGGTATGTATGTTTAACACACCAATTTTGTGAATCTACTAGAAGAATTTTGTGTTGACTTGGTTGAAGGAGCTCCTAATTTTTAGTCCCTTAAGGTCATCTGCATAGCTCTTTTTTAGAAGTATAATAATATATATTATATTTATTACAATGTGGTATAAGGAGATAATTGTACATTTGAAAGTTTGGAGGTCTAGACTATGTTTCTATTCACCAAGGTAGTTCTCAAAGGTCACTTCTGAGCCACAATGGTAGGAAACTGGGAAGAACTTGAACTGCTAATATGTTCCCTTTGTTGTGTGGATATACAGAAAACAGTTTTCTTATCCCACAATGATGCTGTTGATTTTGAAATTTTAGGACTGGCATGGGGCTCAGTGAATATATGAGTGACTTAAGAAACAAACAAACATACTTCATTTTAATGTTGACCTTTTTTTTTTTCCTTTTATTTTTTATTTTTTAAACTTTTAATATAAACTAAATTAAGTTTCATCAGGAGAAGATGATTTTAACCACAAAAAGAGACTTTTTGTATTAAAAATGTTGTAATGGCACATTTCTAGAATTTCAAAACCTTTTTCTCAGATTTTTTTGAGGACAGGAAGTTCTTCTGGGAATAATTTCAGTTATGATGAATTGTTGGTAGTGACCATCTCTCTTCTTCCTTTTGAAAGCCCTGTTCTCACTTCCCGCTCTAAACCCAGGCTTCCAATACTTTCCAGAAATCTAATGTATGATTGCCTTAATTGCAGTGTTGATGCATTCTGGTGAAACATAGGTTCTGGGCAACTTGCTGTATCTACTGGTGCAATGACTCAAAGGCAAAAGTATTGTGACAGTCTTAATTGGGTTTCTTCGTTCTCCACACGTACTTTGGATTGCAATAGTTTTGTGTTTCGTTTTTCTACATTTCATGTACTGTTTTAATTTTAATTATTGGTTCACAGTTTGCAAACAAGTAGGGGTGAGTTACATGTATGTTAGAAATTAATTTTGTTAATGCACTGAACCTTTTTCTTTATATCTGTCTGGAAGGATAATGTACTGTCACTAATGAAAAGGGTTGTGTTGATGGGACAAAATCTGATGCTTTCAACAAAGGATTATTAATGAACCTTATTTTAAAAAGTCTTCATGACCCCTACACCTGGGGAAGAATGCAGGATTATTTTCAGTTTTGATGGCAATATTTGCACTACCCTGGAAATAAATGCATTTCATGATTTGACTGAATGGGCAATCTGTTCTGCTAGGAAGAAACTAAGGCACACATTACCTTGCAGCCAGAGACTGAGGAGGCCTCAGTGGTGAAAGAGAAGCACCAAGGTTGGGTAAGTTCTGCCCAAATACTGCCAAATGATTCTAGTGAAAATCCTCATGCTTCTCTCCATTGTGAGAAGAGGAATGCAAATCAAGATGTTCAGAGCTCTGAAAAGCAGGTTGATTCATAAGTCTTGAGTAAGGAAGAAGAGGAAGTTATCACATAAGTAAGATGAGTTTTTTTCCTTACTGAAACCAAAAAAGCCTGTGTTTCAGCAGTTTCTTCCCTTCCCTGTTCCAGCTGAGCTGTTCAAGGTCTACTGATTTAGAAAACAAATATTACTTTATATATGAACAGTGTATTGACAGTTTTAATAGCTTTAAAGCTCACAAGCCTGCTATCACAATCCTACTCAGAAAAAATACACAATCTACTCAGCTATATTTCCACAGGCATTGTGGAAATGAATGCGGCTTTAGAGTGTCAAAGGCCCTGGGGGCACCAACAGGCCCTGGTGTCCCTGCCTGGCCCCCTGGGGCTCTCCCTGTCTGCCCCGGCCCCCACACCAGTCCTGGGCCTCAGCTCCTGCCCCAGAGAGGTGCAGCGGGGCAGGGCTCCAGCTCCTCACAGCCCTGCCCTGCCTGGCCATGGGACCCGCTGAGCTGGGCCCATGTCCTGTCCCCAGGGAGATGCCCAGGGCTGGGGCTGCCCCCGTGCCCTGCTCCTATCTGGGTTGGTGGGACATGGGACAGGCCCTGGTGGACTTGTAGGGAGTCCCCACCACCACCACCAGTGTCCCTGCACCAGAAAGCTGACAGCACATGTAGCACCCTGATGTCGAATTATGTGGTAAGCCCTGCCACCCAAATTATCCGCAGGTGGTGTTGTGTCCAGATACAGCAGGCACCGTCATATTTCTAAAAATATTTGTGAGGCAGTATTGGCCTCAAAAAGGAAAGGTCTCCTCATGGCAGAGTTGCTGTGCTTTATTCACAGGAAAGAACAGTGCTCATGACGAAAACAAGTTTAGGAAACCTTCTGTTACCTGACCTTCACTGCAGTTATGTTCCCCTGAGGTAAGTGACACTGGTGACATGTTGTATTGCAATAACTCAGGTGAAACAAAGGTGAAATTTTCAATCATCAGTTTTCTAAAATTAAGTACAGGTTTATAGCTTTTCAGCCCTGAAAATAATTCTGCTCTTTTGTTTCACGCTTAGCTGAGAAAGAGCTGAGATCTCCCGATACAGATGTTACCTTTACATAATAGCTTATATCACAACTTTTCCATCAAAACAGTGAAAGTTGTGTGGGGATGCCTGGCTTTACTGGGACTTCCAGCACGGTACTTACAGAAAGTTCCAGTACAACTTATTCTGAAGCACAGACGACAGATATGTGTAGTTGTCTCTGTGCTCTCTCTGTATACTCTCTTTCTCTCTCTCTCCCTCTCTCCTTTTTAAAGCAAGGTTTTGAAATCAGAGCAAGGAGTCTAAAGTCCAACTGGAAACTGATTAACACTGTCTCTGGGATCAAGACATCCTCATTGCTAGGCAGCTGAAGGGAAAGAGGTATTTTCCATTTCAGTGTGTCTATATATACTACGTATTACCAGTAGCACTTCTGTGAGCAGGAGGAATTAGCAGCAGCCTTAGCAAAGGATCAGCACTTCTCTATAGTCTCACAGAGACTCACCATGCTTCATGATGCATTATTTTCTAAGTAATAGTTCTGAAAGAAGCAACGCCTTATCCTTCCAGCCTAGGAAACCAGAGTTCTTTTCAATTTCCTGTGTGAAGACGTCCTTAGCATTCATTCATGTTGCAAACTTGGCAGCCCATAAATTGCAGCTAGCAGAATATCCAATTAGCCAAATGTATTATGAAAATTAAATGCCATACTTGAATATTAGCCTTCATGTAACAGAGCACTCTTGTGTTTCATCTGTTACTGTCTGTACTAATAATCAGTAGCACTCTTTTGCTGTCTGGTTCATTTTATGTTGTTTCAAATCCTAAATTTCATGCATCGCACTACTGTTATTTCTGGGCTGACATGGTACCAGTGCATTGTAGAAGATCAGCAGAGAGTTTTTGGCAGTGCAGTAGGGACTGACAGGGACTTGTGGTGCTGCCCTTTGCTCTTGGGATTGAGGCAGGAACAGAGGCTTGTGATGGGGAACAGGACTGCATGCTGCTTTCTCTTAGGCACAAGCAGTTTGCAGCTGAAGGCAGAGGAGGTTTGGTTTCTGTGCACCTCTTGTGCACTGTGAAAGTGACTAACTGCTCTTTCATTTTGAAACTGAAAAGGAAGCACATCAGCTTGTGGTTCTGATGCTAAAATCATTTGTTTAAATGGTAATTCTTGTTTCTGAATCCTGATGATTTGATTTTACTAATTGTGAATTTGGAGCATTTGCAGACTGAAGAATATTTCAGCAGTTTCTATCTGACATCAGTTTTAATGTCTTTCCTCATGACTATGGGGATAAGTACTTCTCTATAAAAAGAATAATGCTTCTTGTGTACAGTTATATGGCAATTAAAAAATATGATTATTTGGAGGTTAATGGTAATAGCAGTTAACTGCATTATCTACTTGGCCTGCTTACAGCTGACTCATGGCAGCATCCTGAACCTACAGCTCCATAAAATGAATGGTAGGCGTTATAGTACATAGAAACCTTGTTGAAAATAATATTGAAATTTAGATAATCTCTTAGGAGCCCTGTCTGTACTAAACTGTTACTCTGATCATATTTACGGCTTGAATTCTCACTATCTGTTCATTCAGAAGTAGGTTTATGTTCTGCAACCTCATCTTGACATTGCATTGTAAAATACTTAAATAGTATTTTACACATGGTATAAATACATGGATGTTGTCAATAGATAATACGTCATTGAAAATGAAAATATAACTGATCTTTTGAATCATAAATGACCTTATGAATCAGGAAGGTGTGTATTTTGCAATGTTGATTTAAACACCAGCCAGAAGAAGGGACAGTGCAGGTAATTAATATCAATAGATAGGTTTATTTCATTTTAAGGACAAAACAGAAGCACTGGATTCACAACTTTACTATTGGCTGCATCAACTAAGAAATGATACTCATGACTTTTTCAGGTACTTGAACAAGCTTATATACACTACAAGCTGACCATGAGCCCTTTCTGTTTATTAGAAAATTGTATACTTAATACTTGAAGAAAGACATTTTTTCCTTTCCACCTTTGCAACACAACTTCTGTATTTCCACATCCAGCTCAGAATAATTGTTGCAACTTATGTTATCCATACAAAGCTACTTGCTATCATATGTTGGTGTTGACCTGACTTCATCATACCCCCAGCTCCTGCCTTTAGCTTAAACTCCTGCAAGGCCAGTTTAGTAGTTTGAATGAACCTGTTACCTGTAATACAGGTATGAAGAGCAGCACTTCATAGAAGTGCTAAAACATAGACTTGCAAGAAGAAAAGATTTATTCTTGACTTAGGAGATGTTACTTTATGTATATTTTGGAAAATTGAAGGGAAATAAGTAGCCTTCCATTCCTTTCCCTCCCCAAGCAAAGAAATGAAGGCATTTTGGAGGTGGATATTTGAGTTGTGCAGCATGGATGGGATTATTTAATAAGTATTCTTTCTTTTTCTTTCATTACATGAGGTTTTGCTTTTCTTGGATCACACAAATTCTTGTAAAAATGTAACAAGCTACTATTCTAATATGCCAAATAAGAAACAGATGGATCTCCTTAAAGTAATAGTTTATCACTAATATCAATTGGATCTCACGTTTAGGGACCAGACACCTCTCTTTCCTCATGCCAGCCTTCTTAGCCTGAACAAAGAGGCACTTCTAGCAATGACTTGCACATGACAGAGGAGAAAAAGGAGGGTTTATTAGCTTCAAAATAAAGCACAGCATTTCTTCTCTTTTCACAATGTATTCTTAACATGCTATAGCCTTGACTATTATGTGCAAAGTTTTCTGTGGTCAACTGATTTAAACAAAAAGTTTTACCCTGTTCCTTCACACTAACAATTCAACTGGTGTAACTCCATTTCTTCAGTAGAATTCCTCTGACTTACGTGTGTGCCTTCCCACTTCATACTAAGTAGAGCTATGTTCATGTGACTACAAAAGAGCCTTTTGAATTAAGAAAATAAGAGTTGGTATAGTGTACAATAGGGTGTACAAAGCACTCCTTAGATGCCAATGTATGCGTTTTAGATTAGACCTGGGTAAAAGCAAACATGAGACGGACTCTGTGTTTCTTGACTGCTCCCAAAGGTATTACAGCAATACATGTGAGCTGAACAAAAGATGCTCTTCTGAAAAATCAAATAAAACTGAGATGTTCCTTTACTACTGGTATTTTCTTTTATTTGGGGTATTTCCAAAGTTGGACGGGTGGGATGTACAGTACTTGTTTGTTGATGGAATGATTACTTAACCTAGATAAAGCACATACATACTGTTATTTTAATAAAAGAAAGTAGGCTCGTGTTTAGAAAGGAAATATAATACAGTAAACATCCTTTTGTACTGTTCTAGTTATTTTTCTAAACTTGTGTCAAGCTTGAGATATTTGCCTTCCAAAATAGATTTTTTTGCAAGAGTCTGCAAGTTCTGTAATACCTTTTCCAGTATCTGCTGAGTGAGCCAAAGGTCTGTGGTCAAGTGGGCATCTCAGTTACAACTCTTTATTGAGCATCTAATGCATTAGGCTTTAACTTGCAGAGACCTTTCTCTTCCACAGCAAAGCTGTTGAGCCTTTCATTTTCGGCTTCATCCTAGATCCAAGGAAAACACCAGAAAATGATCCAGTCTCCCACTGATGATATCTACAAGCCTCGGATGTCCATGATGTTTTGGTGTAACTATTCAAAGTGAACAGGAAGATTTTTTTGTTGTTTTGTTTTAAATTTGATTTTAGAGCAACCTGGAAACACATGGAAAGAACTTATAAAGTTAAAACTGTAAACATTTCCCTTAGAGCTTGATTACTTCTTGGGAGTTATTGAAGTCCTATTAGGATGTCTTATATAGATTTTCTCACCTTTTTGTGCATCCCTCCCTTATACATCTTAGAATGACTTTTAATTAAAAATTTGTTATGTCTACTTGTGTTTTCTAGATGTTATTACAGAATCACAGAATTTCTAGGTTGGAAGAGACCTCAAGATCATCGAGTCCAACCTCTGACCTAACACTAACCAGTCCTCCAATAAACCATATCACTAAGTTCAACATCTAAACGTCTTTTAAAGACCTCCAGGGATGGTGATTCAGCCACTTCTCTGGGCAGCCCGTTCCAATGCCTAACAGTCCTTTCAGTAAAGAAGTTCTTCCTAACATCCAACCTAAAACTCCCCTGGCACAACTTAAGCCCATTCCCCCTCGTCCTGTCACCAGGCACGTGGGAGAACAGACCAACCCCCACCTCGCTACAGCCTCCGTTAAGGTACCTGTAAAGAGCAATAAGGTCGCCCCTGAGCCTCCTCTTCTCCAGGCTGAACAAGCCCAGCTCCCTCAGCTGCTCCTTGTAAGACTTGTTCTCCAGACCCCTCACCAGCTTCGTCGCCCTTCTCTGGACATGCTCCAGGGCCTTGATGTCCTTCTTGTAGCAAGGGGCCCAAAACTGAACTCAGTACTCAAGGTGCAGCCTCACCAGTGCCAAGTACAGGGGGGACAATTGCTTCCCTAGACCTGCTGGCCACACTGCTTCTTATGCAAGCCAGGAAGCCGTTAGTCTTCTTGGCCACCTGAGCACACTGCTGGCTCATCTTCAGACGACTATCCACCAATTACCACTCATCTCAAACTGTAGTAAGGTTACCTGCTTACACAGCAGAGATCAGAATGGAGCTGCATGTAAGTGCTGCTACCCACAGAACTGAGGGTAACAACACTGAATTATTTACTATCCTGGGGTGTACCCATTCGGTGATCAGCTCTTGTGAATGCATCTGACTTGTACGTGTTCATTGTTAAAATGAATATATGCCTTTGCTACTTTATTACCCATCACAGGACTCCAGATGGAAACACCCTTCTTAGAGAAAGAGATTAGATTAGGGAGTGAGAGTGGTGCAAAAATAAGTCATATCGCCTTCATAAAGAGGTTTGTGTTCAGGATCAGTTCAATGTGCAGCTGCAGGAACCTGATGCCATCATCTGTGCTTAGACCTGCCATACAAGCAACCATTACAAGGTACTACAGACCTTCTGCATGTGACAAGAAGATTAGCCAATCACTCGTGTTGCTGGCATCTGTGAGATCCTCCCAGGTGCATTTGAGGGTGTTGACTGGGATGTCAAGATGGGTTCCCCACAGGAGAAATAAGTTTTCTTCCTGTATTGCTGGAGCAGATAAAGAAAGTCCAGAAACTGCTTTGATGCTCAGCTATGATAATGGTGGGCTGAACATGCCCTAAACTGAAGATGTGGTGTCAGTATGGAGGACAGAGCCAAAGTATTTGCCTTATCCTGAAGGGAAGAAAGGGGTGCACATGGAAAATTGCCTGAGTGTTTTGTATTTTGTATTTTCTTTCTTTCCATAACACCAATTGTTCTGTTACTATAAGCTAACTTGCATTTCAAATCTTGTCCTAGAAATATTCAAACCAGTTTGTCTTTTGTAGTAGTTGAAGATTGGTTCAAAAACTGAGCTTCTGCCTGGTGCAGCGTTTGAGGTTGTGGAATACGTAGGCTTTTTGTCTTGAATTAGAATGGAGAGTCGTAAGTGTTTGCAGAAAAAAGAAGTGAAATGTTTCTTTTTGGTATGATCAGATCAAATATGAAAACAAGAGTCCTATCTTTTCAGAGAAGAAATGCTGGATATTTGATGATGACTATATTAATGACCTTTGAAAATGCATTATAAATCCAGGGCAATGTCAACATTGGTATTAGTGGTGGATAAGTTTGTTTAAATAGCATTTATAGCAGCTAATTCATGAAACACAATCTTTTGGATGTTTAGAAATGTCTTATTATATTATTATGCTTAGAGCTTATAGTTATTATACTTAAAGCTGACCTGTTGCTCATTTAGCTAGGACTCAAAAGTTGTTCTTGCAGTCTGTCACTTGCTTGGAAGGAGGAAAGGCTGGCAAAAAGCAACATTGCTAATACTTTGTTTCCAGTGAAGAGGCACCAATGAAGTTCAGGTAGACTACAAAAGCATTGGGCCTTCTCCATCGGAATGGTTTTATGTACCAACATATTTCACTGTCAAATGCAGTCAGAAAAATCCTTGTTTAGTGTCTCTGAACAATGCTGGTACTTTTTTTTTTTTTTTTTTTAATTTTTTATTTTTTGCAATGAACAATGCTGGCCACACTTATCCATGGGATAGTCATTAGTAGTTTGATTAGCATTGTTCTGTAATATGTCTTTTCAGCCAAAACCTAACGACCTTCCCCTCAATCACCCTCTGTGAAAAATATGCTAAAACTCTGTAAGGAACAATGAAGTTTTACAATCATTCAGTGAGCACACTTTTGTTCTTCTGCTGTGTCTTTACAATAAGGGGAAATATGCAAAGTGGTGAGCATCCTCATCCCCCACTAAGTTCAAGAAGAAGCACCAGATTTCAATTATTCTTTAATATCTCTTTCTAAGAACTTTCCATTCAGAATTATCATGATGACCTTAACAGAATGTTCTCTTTCAACAATGAGGGTGTTCATATTTTAAATGAAAGACAGTATGTCATGCTGATTTGCAAAAGCCCCTGGTATTCCATAGGTCTGAGAAATCTCCTGCATGTAAGGTCTTTTGTACAATCTGGTGAGCAGTTCTGGTGTTAAAAGAAGGACATGTTCAGCTCCTGAAAGAGAAGAGGCTTGGTATTACAGCACGAACTTTGTACTGAGACATGCCTGACTCTAAGCTTCGGTAGTGTCTGGTGGAAGAAACATTCCTTTGCTTTTTGAATTTGGGATTGATAAGCATGATTCCCTCTGCAGCCCAATTTTTGTTTCAGTCAGTATGAGAAGAAAACTGGGAAGAAACTAATCTACTAATTTCTGCAGATTATGCAGTACATTAGGGCTGAGGCTTCCCTGCTTTCAATCTGGGTCACAGACACACTGCCATCATCAGAAGGAGTAGGCCCAACATTTACAGGATGCTTCTTGCTATTTTCCATAACAGACCTGGTTTCTATACCCGCAGACCTGATGTCTTCTTGGGGTCTACAGAAGAAGATGAAACTTTTTGCCACCGTTGGATAAAAGCATCAGTGGGGATCAATATACTCCGAATATTTTTTAATATCAGGTGAAGATGAATAGGGAAGTTGTAAAGAAAATTAATCTGTTAGTTTTCTTCTGTGTTTCAAAACTGAAACAATTACTTAGAATTCACTAAAGAATGCAGAAAGATACGTGAGGCACCCTATATGGATATCTGTACTAAGATTACTCTGTATCTGCTGTGGTGGTAAGCACTTTGCCCGTGGCACTGACCGTACAGTTGTCACTCAGCAACAAAAGCTAGCAATTCCTGACTTCTAACAATCTGTGGATGTGATTTGATATAAGGACAAGAGCTGGAGCCTGTTGTGAAGTATGGATGGCTGTAAAAGGCAGTCGTCCAGGCTATCTTAAAAACAGTGATGTGTGAAGGTGGCTGATGGCCTATCTAACTTACCCCATCTGTTCCAGGGGAACTGAAAGGATGCACATCTCCATTCTCTCTATCGTAGACCTGGTGAGGTTTTCTATTAATGGGAGAGTGTTCCTTTCCATCAGTCTGTGGGTCACTGCCAAACAGCTCTGTTCCTTCTATATAACTCAGTGATATCAAATAGATGACATACATGACATCTTCTGTCTTATTTTTCTGACCAAGGCTGAGAAGCTGTCTTCTCCATGAGGTTAAAAAGGCTTGTTTCTGCTGAAATTCTGCAGAGATGGAAAATGATGGCTGCCTTCCATGCTGCTGAGAAGAGCTTGCAACCCCTGATAACCAATCTTGCACTGCTTGCTTCAGGGCCAGTGTCTTACTCATGCATCTTGTGTTGGCAGTCACAGACGATTATTTGAGCTGGAAAGCTAGGCCACCAGGCATGAGGTGTCTGTTTTTGTGGTTTAGAACCTGGGTTTTGGCTTGCTGCAATGTTATATTATGTAATAGTAGTCTTTTGAATCTGCTAAAGTGAAAACTTTTAACCAGCTAAGATCTGGGAGTGGAAGACCACATGCTGCTGAGGTTTCACTGGTGCTGCGTGGAGCAGGTGAAGCAGGGAGTTTGCTAAGTGCTGTTGAGTGGTTGAGGGGTGGGGGTGCAGGTCACAGCTATTTATGGAGCCTCACTAGGCTTCTGGAGCTGCCATAGGGCAGGTGCAGGCCATGACTAAAGCTCAATAAATAAGAGTGATGTAAACACTCACAACCCTGTAAACATGTCCCCTTTCCTGTTTCTGTCCAGAGGGAGTGCTCTGACTCATCTACATTATGATGAATGCTCATCTGCTTTTGTTTCTGAGATGCCCTTGATCTCTCTAGAGATACACAGAAGTCCTGCATATCAGGACCTGTGGCCCCCTGCATGCCTTGGGCATCTATCCTATTCTTGTTTGAAAACTGTATCTGTCTTTGGATATCTGCCATGCCAGCCTGCTTCCTGCAGGTGTGTGTAAATTGAGAGATTTATATGACCATGTCCCTGTATTATGCATGACCAAGCTCCAAATAGTTTAGGGCATGACATTGTTTTGGCTTGCTGTCGAGCATGTACCCTTCAGTAGCTGTGGTTTGGTCCATTTATGGCCCAGGATCTAGATGGTCCAAATGGCATATACAGCACATAAATGGTACATATAGCCACACTGCTCTCATCCAAGTCCCTGATGCAAAGGAAAAGGAGGTTCCCTTGTGACCACTCTCCCAGTGAGATGGATCAGACCAGCCCTAGTGCCCACCTTTTTGTGGACCATGGCCTGTCTCTGGCTGGAGGGACCAGGGTCTGCCCAGCTAAAATCCTTTGTACACTACCGCTGTGGCCTAATCGTAGTCACAGAGATGAAGGCATAAATGTGGCCATAAATAGGTAAAAGAATTGAGAGTACTGCAGTATCTGTTTTGCAGGAGAGTTGCACTCTGTAGGTAGTTGAGGGCGGTAGTAGCAGTGTCCAGTGGAGAAAAGC